ACCTACCCCCCCACCTACCCGCCCTCAGCCCCACGCCGCTACTCCACAAGTGCTGCATCCACCGTCTCCGGTCTTGTCCCAGTCTCCAGCACCGCAACCAGTTCCGCCACTTATCGCCCTGCCACCAGCTCCGATGGCACCCGCCTTGTCTCTCCCTATGCGCACCCGTACTACTCGACCCCCGGTGGCACGACGTACATGTACTCTCCTGGTATGATTCGCCGCGCCTGAAATCGCAAGCATGCGCAGACGCTGTGCCATTTTCCCCCCACCACCACACCAGGTCCTGTCACTCCATTGACATGGTAGCGCAAAGCCCCCTTACCGTGCTCGACTCTTCCTTGCCCCCCGCCTCCCCTCCCCCAACAGGAAAAGCCTACCCCTATGCTTCTTATAGTTATGCACCTACTAGACTCACCACTAGCTCAGGCACCTATATCGTACGGTCGCCCATCCAACTAACGCATACAAGTGCCGCCAGCTCCCCCGTCCCCAGTACGTCCCTCTTTGCCCACCCCCGTTAGTTCCCCCCTTTTCATTCGATTGAGGCTACCACAGGACCGGCCAGTATCGCTCATACGAAGCATGGTTTATCATTCCTCCAGGTGATGGATCCTCGGCACCAAGCTCGGCCAAGGCGTCGCCGGCGGGAAGCCGGCGTAATAGTGCCAAAGCCAACGGAGCCAATGCTAAGAAAACAGGCTCTGCGCCGTCCACTTCTGCTCCTTCCTCCACCTCTGTTATAACATCTGCCGCGCCCGCCGCCGTTTCTGGTGCTCGCCCGCCGCCCATTGCCATTCCTGCGACGGGGGCGCCCATTACAACCGCGCCTTCCTCGCTCGGGCGTGTAAGTTATGTACCACCCTCGGGGCTAGGTAGCCCGCTCCCCGGCAGTCCGCAACCAGGCAGTGCACCCGCCGTTCTTGGTCGCGGTCGTGGCACAGCCAAGCGTCCAGGCTCCAGCGAATCACCCGCTGGCTCGCCCACCAAACTCATCAAGCGACCCAGCAGCGGTAGCCCGATAACCGCAACATATCCTCCTCCCATTGGTGCTGCAGCTTACCGTACCACGTATGTACCCATTAGCAGCCCGGGCACATACACAGCACCGTACTCCTACAGCAGCGCCGTACCTTATGCGTCCTATGCCAACAGAAAAGTCAGCCGCTCCGGGTCACCCGGCATGGTGGCCTATGCCTCCCCCGTGGCCGGGCGTACCCCTGTTGGCTCGCCCCTCGGCTCACCACTTGCCACTACTTTTGCCGGCGGCACACCGCTACCCACGAGCATGGCCACCACACTGACCACCTACCAGCCACCCATGCTGGGCCTCACTGCCAAGGGCAAACCGCGCAAACGACCTGCGAAGGCCACGACCGCCAAGGGTGCTTCCACCAAAGGCAAAGCCACTACAGCCAAGCGAGCCGCCAAGGGCAAGAATGGTCCTGGATCTCCGTCGGCCCCGAGTCATGCCCCGCCGGCCGCCCCCACGACCGCTAGCCCGCTGGCAATCCCCGCAACTAGTGCTGGAGACACCCCTTCTTCAATCGTAGCGGCTGCTTCCGAGACTCCGGCCGACGTGAGCGACGCGAGCGCTCCCCCCATTTCAAACGGCAAGGGCCAGGCCAAGAGCAAGGCCAATACCAGCAAGACCAAGGCATCCCGCTCTCGCAAACCTCGCGCCCCCAAGGCAACGACCGGCAAACGCAAATCCACACCACAACCCGAGTCGCCTTCCGCCCCCGATAGCCCCCTCTTGGGGAGCGAATCTGTTCTTACTGAGGAGGATCTGTTGGACCTTGAAAATTCCGAGGATCTCTTACACGATCCCGAGCCCAAGCGCCGCAAGAATGCCAAAGCCAGTCCCAGTCGTGGCCGCGGTCGAGCTCGAGGTCGCGCGACCGCTCGCGGGCGGGGTCGAGGTGCGCGTGGACAAGCAACAAGCTCCAGTCCACCAAAGGTTGGGCCCGATGTGAGCCTGACCGAGCAGGTGGATCCATTGCTACATAATGAGCCAGACGTGGGTAGGGCTGTCACTTCGTCTTCAAAGGCGAATGGCAAGGCCAAGACCAAGGCCAAGGCCAAGGGCGTCAGCAAGGCACCGTCCAAGGCCGGGGGCAAGTCATCGCGTAAGAGCGCAACGCCGACCTCAGGTCTCAAGGACTGCCTTGCTCTGTCCCCGGCTGGCAGCCAAGGAGCCCCGGAGCCTCTGTCCAAGAGTGACAGCAAGCAACTCGGGCGCACCTCAAGCACAAGTAGCTCGGCTCGCCGTCGCAAGCAAGGGTCGGCGGTTATTGTGATGGACGATCCAGAAAAAATGCTTCATGATAGCGAGCTTCAGGCGGCACTGGCGACAGGCGCGACCAATGCCACTGCGGCGTCCCTACTCCGCACACCGGAGGCCGAGGATGAGTGGCTCGTCCCACGACCGGTGCCTCAAAAACCTGTCCCAGATAACGCTCTCCGCAAGGTTGAGGTCCTCGAAGCCATTGGCCACCTGCATGATGAGGTAATTGCTTACGACAAGCGCCTTTCCCAAGTCTTTTTAAAACCAGTGGATACCAAGCTCTTCACATCATACCTGACCGTGGTGCAGCATCCCATGGATCTGAGTGTCATCAGCCGCAAGATCCATGACCAAGAGTACAACTCCATTTGGGAGTACGTGGAGGACATGCATCTCATGATCAACAATTGCCTTCTTTTCAATCCTAAACAGTCCTCCTTTCACCACAAGTATGCTTTGGATCTGCGTGAGTTCTGGGAGCCCAAGCTAGAGCACACCATGCTTGTCACGCTGGCGCACCACCGTTATTGCTGTGGCAAGCGACGCCAACTGTCACCCGAAATTTTTCGCTGTCGTGGCGGCACCTGCTTCATCCAGCACGGCTCGACCTATTTTGAATGCCAGTACTCTGATGAAGACCATATTGTGTACTGCCAGGCACACTTTACCAAGCTGCAGGATGAGTTTACCATTCCCCGGTTTGGAAACGGTACCGGCCCAGAGCTGGAGCTTTCCAAGTCGATGTTTAAAAAGGCAAAACACAACGCCCCTCTCGTCTCTGAAAAGTTTGTCGAGTGCATCCGGTGCTCACGGCAGGACCACGAGGTTTGCGTGGTCAAGGATCCATACGACGAGCTCCCCTACACCTGCCATCATTGTCGTGAGGGTTGGCCCGTGGGTCAAGCGGCCCCTGAACCGGGTTTGCTGACCGCCACTCGTGACATGTTGGCAGTTGAAGCCCGCCGCCGTCAGGCCGCCGCTGCCAAGGCTGGTGTCAATATTACCGTGGAGACTGCCAGCGCTCCTGCAATTGCCAAGATTTCTCTGCGCAAAGCCTCAAGCGAATCGCCGACAGCTGAGACTGCATCGCCACACCCCGTGTCCAAAGGATCTCGCTCTTCCGCAACGGGCCGGCACCGCAGCTCGAAGCGTGTTGCATCACCGGCCCCGAGTACCCCCACGCAAGCCGTGGCCGCGGCTGAGGCTAAGATCAAAGCCGCCAAGACTGGTTCTCCGCTTGGCTTGTCCGTCCTGCACGCATTGCAGCTCGAATCGCCGGTGGCGGCTGATCCACTGGGTGTACCTGAGCTAGCCCAGGAGGCTATGCAAGCTCTTACCTCGCCCTCGGTCGATTTGGGCGCCATGTTGGGCCTGGCTTCATCGCCACCCGCCTTGGACACGCCAGAGAGCCCGTCTCAGCCACCATCGCGAGCATCAAAAGACGACGTCAAGTCTGAGCTGAAGAACATGGACAGGGCCCCGATCAAGAGCACAGCGTTGTCAACTGTTATCACCAAGGTGAAGGACGAACCTCTTGATGCCACGGTGCCGTCAGCGCCTCGGGCCCACCGGCGTAGCTCAAGTGCATCATCCACACACAGTGGATCCCACATGACACGACGGGGTGCGCAGCGCGAGGCAGTTTCTGCCACGGCACATGAGCTGCCTATTGCGAACACACACGGGGCCATTCGAGCTCGAACTCTGCCAGAGTCACAGCTGGCACGGGAGATCAAGGCTGAGCTCGTCAAGGCTTTGCCCCAATTTGCCGAGCATGTCGTCGTGCGAACGGTCAATCACGCACGCGAGGTGGCGCATACAAAACACCTTTACGCCTCTTACTTTCCCGACGCACCCACCGACTTTCCCTATACCCGCAAGGTTATACTGGCCTTTTTGGACTTGGGGCACGTTGATGTCCTTTTTTACGGGTGCGTTGCCAGGAATGTGTCGAGCCGATGTTTGGCCCGATGATGCCCCAGATTCAAAAGCGCTCCCCGTGAACTCAACAGAATACGCCATGAGCTTTCAGCCGGCTGCCTGTACTCACTCGTGTCGCCGCCTTCTCCCCGTTCCTTTTATTCCCGCATACAGTTTTATCATTCATGAATATGGCCCGGACGCACCCGAACCTGACACAAGGGTAAGACCAATCAATCCTGGTTCCAATGCAGCCTGGTCATCTGCTCACACACTTGATGGCACCACCTTGTCTTTGACCTCGCGACAGAGAATATACATTTCGCTCTTGGACTCTGTGAAGATGCCCAAAATGCTATTGCCTTCTCATGTGCGCACGGACGTGTACCACACCTTGTTTCGGGGCTACCTGCGTGTCTGTGCGCGTCGTGGCTTCACCCATGCGCACATCTTTACTTGCCCGCCGCGGCGCGGGCAAAACTACATTTTCCCCTTCAAGCCAGCATCGCAGCGCGAGATTTGCGTCACACGGCTACGCCAGTGGTATGAGAATCTTCTGGACAGCTGCATGTTTCGCCGCGACCCGTGCGTCGTGGATGTCATGACCTTGGATGAGGGCTATCCAGGCTGCACGCTGACTGATTTGCCCTACTTTGACGGCGACAACTGGCCGGACATCTTGGAGGACATTATAAAATACGAGGAAGATGCCATGTTTGAAGTTGCGCGCCAACAGTACATGTCCCAGGTGGTCAACAGCATCAGCGAAGCCTTTGCCAAGTATCGCGAGGTGAGATGAATGCATCGGAATTGGAGCACGCTTTGAACCACAGCTGTTGTCCGCCTTTTGTCGGCTTATCTGACTCACCACAATGTCGGGGCACGGTGCAGACACTCAAAATTCAATACACCAAGCCGGGGGACGGCGGTGGCTTTTACAAGGGCCACCCACCTGCGAGCCTGCCCCCCCACAAGTCGCGTAAAAAACGTGTGCCCACGGGTGCCCGTGTCCTGGGCCTCGACCGGCGCTTGGATATTGTCATCCAGAGCACCCATCGCGATTTTTTGGTGGTCAAGGTCAGCATCCCCTTTGCATCCCCTTTGGCCCGCTGACCCTCGCGATTTCCCAATGCTTGGTCATTCTTGTCTTGGTCTTTGTCTGGTTGCTCGTCGTTGACCAATCTGGCCTTTTCGCCTCGTTTTGTTCTCACTGTCTTCCGCGTGCTTCATTCGGTGATAGCTGATGAATCAGTCGACAGAATACATTCCAGACCCAGACGCAGACTTTCAAAGCGCGCAGACGGGCGAAGACCACTCCATCGTGAGCTTTCTGAAGGCTGAACGCCTCGAGTTCAGCTCACTCCGACACAACTGTTTTAGCACCACGTGTCTCTTACACCTCCTGCTGGCTCAGGATAAAGTCCTGCCTCCGCGCTATCCCGAGGCCCCAGTTCAGCAGGATCAGCAGGAATCGGCTTCGCGGCGTGAGTCGATTCGCCGAGCCTCCCTGGGTCAACGCTCGCACGAAGGCAGTCCGCTTCGCGTCACCCTTCAAAGGTCCCAAACCAAGACCTGAGCCTGAGTCGATGGCTCGGCCTCTCCTTTTGTGCATTTGTGTGTGTGTGTGTGTTCTCTTGTTTCTGCCTTTTCATGACCTCTGTGCCCATGTCCAAGTGCTCTTTGTTCGTGCTGCGCACGATTCCTCTGCCATGTCCCATCTGTCCTTTTTGGTCATTTAGCTTCTGAAAGCTCTGCGTCTGGATACCCTTTTTTTCTTCCTTTGCTTTTTGCCCTGCTTTTCTTCCTATTAATCAGACCCAGATAATCGATGCCAATCACATTGCTGAACACGCCGGTGTACCAACCACCCTATCCCTCGCCTGTCATTCCGCGCCCCCTACTCCTTCCCATCAAGTCTTCTTGTTGCCAAACAAGCAAGTCACCATCCATCGCATCGTAGTCATCGTCGTTGTGTTTTGATGTTTGGAGATGCTTTTGTTTCCTCCCCTTCTTAATTTTTCTTCATTCATTTTTCTTCTTCTTGGAAAAAAAGGCTGGTTTGGCGGTGATCGGGCTTCGATTCAGGAGGGTCGTTGAGGTGGCTACTGGGGCGAGAGCAACCAACGACCATGGCTGCGGGAACTTCGAGCGTGCTCGACTGGCTGAAGGGCTTAAAGCTCGACAGCTACCATGATGCTTTTGTGGATGCAGGCTTTGACACCCTGGTACGTTCATGCTTCAATCGACCCGTCCACACGCGTGTGCTGCAGTCTGAAGCGAAAGGCACGCCTGAGACGAGCACAAGGCTGCGTGCTTGCTCGCCATGCACTAACGCGGCGTGCCTGCTGGCTGGGCATCTCGGCTGCATAGGATAAAGTGGCGATGATAAGCTCGGAAGACCTTGATCGCATGAATATCACGTTGCAAGGTCATCGTAACCGTATCCTTCGTCATGTGCCAAAGCAGGTATGTCCAGAGGGCACTACAGTCCAGGCGGACCCTGTTCAAATCAAGGACTCCATTTGCATTCGACCATGGGACGCCTTTGCTCATCTTATCAGTCGTGAAACTCACAACTCCTTGTTCGTCAACTCTAGCCGGCTGAGCTCGATGATATTCTTGATGGCCTCTCGTCTCTTGTCGACGGTACGATCCCCCAACTCCGCTGCCCACCCTCTTGGACGCCACGTTGCTCTCTTCCCAATTTTGCCGTTCCAAGTCTTATCGATTGGCTCCAGATATGACTATGCAGGTGGACACCGAAGCGGCACCGTCGCATCTCGATGGTAGGCTCCCGACCAGCACATGACCTGCCTGCCTAGCCCGTTCTTAAGCTAAACGGAGGATGCACCCTCACTTCTTGCAGGCACAGATGCCAATGACTTGGACGACATTCTGGCAGACCTCTACTCGTTTTCACAAGACGACTCTGGCCAGCCCAAAATACCGGCCCCTTACCACGCGCCGGCGGTACGCCTGGTCTCTGCAACTGACGGCTCTCTATCGACGATTCCACAGGCACTCACCGTTACTCTCGCCATCTTCATGTAGACTGAGAACGAGGGTGAGGCAGGAGCCAACACAGAGGGCAGCACGGCTGAAGCTATTCCTGCTGCTAAGACGACGACGCCTTCTGCTGTCGAGGCGGCTGCGCCAGCGCCCTCTGCTGACGTAGAACGGCCCGTCATCGTCAGCACGACCGCCAACTTCGAGTCCTGTGCGTCACCCAGCCGCTACCATATCGACCCTGCTCTGACCCGGACTGTGGATATGGGTCCGTCCTGACTATTGCTGCTTGCATCTCGTAGCCGCGGCTGTGTCACAGCATCTGGACCATTTCTCTAAACGCCTCTCCAGCATGGGGCAAATCTCGACGGTGGATTTGGAGAACATGATGAAAGAAGAAAAGATTCGCATTGCCATGAGCAAACTTGCTGCCGCACAAATGCAAAAGGTCCGGGCTGTCCCGTTCCGCCGACACTTTTAGACGAGGCAATGCAGGTGGCCAGTTGACCCATGACTGACCTGAGGTACCCTTCTTGCTTGTCCGGTTTGCTTCAAACATCATCCAGAATATCATCCATGTCTTCATGGAGGATGCCACCAAAAAGACCATCTGTGTGGATGCCACAGAAACGGCCTTTGAAGTCTGCCGCAAGACCGTGGTGAAGAATCGTTTGCCGGATGATCCTTTCTGGTACGGCGCCGCGCTGTCCTCTGTCTACACTGCATCTTCGACAACGCACTGCCGTGCTTTGCCACCGTGCCTCACCCAAACGTCATCCTGGAGCAGGACCCTCGTGGAGGTGGCACCGGAATTGGCCTTGGAACGTTTTATTGAGGACCATGAGCGTGTAGGCGACGTGTATACGGCCTGGCCACCACTGAGCGAGTTTCGCTTTGACCTGCGCAAACTGCCCTCTAAATATGGCGTCTTCACCGCGACAGAGGCACGTTGGGCTTGCCGCCGCCTGCATACACACGTGTTGTGCTGTGACTGATTATCATGCTTGACCAACGACGACAAACATGTTTGGCAACATAGAAGTACTTTCCAGCCTCATTTGTCAAGGAGACACAAGAGACCAAGGATGCCTCCAAGCTCACAGAACGAGCCAAGCGAATCCTATTTCAGGTCTAGTGATGATTGATGTAAAGCACGTCGCCTTGCGTTTTGCGCTTTTTTAAATTCGCTCAAGCACAAGCTCAATGCCCCACAGGAATACTTTAGCTCGACGGCGCGGCTACCAGATGTCAAGGGCTGGGTGCAATGCCGCGAGGGCAAAAAGTGGAAGAAGCGCTTTCTCTTGCTGCGAGCGTCGGGCGTCTACTACTCCAGCAAGGGCGAATCAGAGGTAGGTCTTGATCAGTGCCCAAAAAGCACTCTTTTGTTTGTGCTCCATTGAGGAAAGCCGTTGTGCTGGACCCCAGTGATAACAGCTGATTTGAGTGGCGTTTCCCTACTGCCTCTTGGTTGACTTGGCACTAGGCCTCCAAAGATCTGGTTGCTCTTGTCAAATTTCATGAATGCATCCTGTGCCATGGACAAAGTGAATTTGCCAAACAAGTCAAGGCACCTTCTGATTTCAACTTGATTTTCAGGGTATGTGTTGGCGCGGCTGGGCGTCTCACGCGCAGGCCTCGACGTTTGAATGGCATGCCAGCACCATGCACACGCGGCAGGCCACTTGCAGTGGAGCTTGTGGCCACCATTCACACGGTGTTTGCCTGGCTGCGGCACGTTGTATGCACACAGCCGAATATTCGCAAGCGACTGCCAGAGCTGACAGATTTGATTGTGCTAAACTTTCATACCGAGTCTGACATGTTGCCGTGGGAGGCTGGCGCGCGTTTGGCCATTCATGGCAACAAGCTTAAGCAAGGATTTGATGATACGGCTCGCAAATTCACCGAGCTGGCCCATGTATGTTCTGCACGGCGCCATCAAGTATTCTCCATCTCATGAAGCGCAGGGTTCCTACAATCAGTCTCGCTATGCCTCGCTAGTGTGCCTCGGTCTGACCAATCGTTGGTTTTCGTGGTTGTACGTAGCTGGGCGCAACGCCGTCAAGCCTGGCATCACAATTGCGTCAGGTTCCTTCACAAAAGTCCAACGACCCAGCTCTCATCCAAAAGGTACAGCCTTTTGTTTCTATCTTTGTTACGGATGGGTCACGCTGAATCGAACCCACGGTTCCAATTTTTATTTTTATTTTTGCGCCCTTTGCAGTGGCGGTCACAACGCGCTTCGAAGCGCAACCCCAACATGTCGGCAGCTACGGGCGTTGAGTTTGATGACGAAGCGGATGTTGACGACGCGGGTTTGCTCGGACAGGCAGCAGATTCGATGGCCGGCGCGGATCCAAACGGCTTGAACTCAGGTCCGACGCGTGCTTCTGGCAGTGGTTGGCTGTTGGCTTGCATCGACTCACCATATAACCGCCTTTGTGGCCGACCGATGTGTGGCATGAATGTCCACTACTTGCAGAGGCTTGGTTTCATGGCCCCATTTCCCGTGAGGCTGCGGAAAAGCTCTTTGAAGAGTCAGGCCTGATGTACGCGCCTTGCGCTCTCTGCAATCGCTATTCCGGTGTTTGCCGTTTGATTTGCAATGTGTTGACTCACTGAATATTTTTTTACGTGCTTTGCTCTTCTTGTTTTCCTTTTTTTTTTTTTTTTTTTTTTTTTTTTTTTCCTTCCTAGCCCCGGAATGTTTCTGATTCGCGAAAGCACCAGTCATCAGGGCGATCATGTATTGTCGCTGTGTCACCGGAAGTCAGCGCGCCATTTTCACATCAAATCAGTAGGTTGCTTGCATACTGAGGACTTTGCCTGTCTTTGCGTGGTGCGGGCAGGGCCGGGAGCAAGCGCTCCGACTCCAGGTGGGAGGCTCATGATCAACCCGTGTGGCGATAGTATCGATCACCGGATGGCGGCCTTGCCTACGGGATTGATGGGGCTCAACATTTCGCCAGCCTACCTCAGCTGGTTCAGCACTACCGCGAGCCCAACTCGGACCTGCCCTGCCAGCTGACGGCTGAGGCGCCGCGTCAATAGTACCCGATCCACCTTTCTGAAAGATATTGGCTCGTTGTAAAATACTGGGACAAGCGGCTGCGTTTGCGAATATCAAAGCTTGATCAAATACTAAAGCGTTCTTTCTTTCTGTGCAGCTGTGTTCGCCGTCGATTGCAATGACCCACGTCCAATCGAGAAGCGACCCTGCGCAAAGAGATACCTACCCCCCATCACCCTTTGTCCCCTCCCCCGTGCCTTAATGCTCGGTTCGCCGTCTGACCCAGTGCATAAGCGTTTTCCCATTGCAAATGTACCTCTCTCTGTCTCTCTGTCTCTCACATGTGGTAGTTGTGCTTTTCCTTTGTGTCTTTGCTCTTTATTTCTCTCTTCACTCTCTTTATTTCTCTTTATTTCTCTCTCTCTCTCTCTCTCCCCACACACGCAGCACACAAACTGACTTGTCATCAATTATCTTCTTCAGCTTCAGCTTGGAGTTCTCCTGTTGTTGTTGTGCATGCTCGGGGGCTTCTGCGTGCGTGCGGGTGTGTGCGGGGCCCTGTCAACCGTTTGGCAGGACAGTGGCTCACTCAAGCGAGGGTGGGGGGTTGAGTACGACAGGACGGTTAGGGGGGTGCAGTTTCCTTCAAGACTGGCTGGACATTCATTTGCACCTGGTCCATTGTGCATTTGCGGTTGATGCTACAACTGCAACCTCCTCCTGCTCGACGAATAGCACCAACCTGCCCGAGCCTCAGTTTTGACTCCGGCTTTTGCCAAGCTTGGGTCCCCGGTTGGCTGAATGAGAGCACCCGCCCTTGCAGCCATTCCATGGTCAACGGCCCAATCTGATCACATTCGTGCTCGCACGTTGTTATTCGCGTCACGACGCGCCACGCCACGCCTAGCTCCGGTGGACCATGGCTCGAACCGTGTCTGCGCGTGAAGGAAGCCACGGCTCTTGGATCGACGGCCGGACATGTTATATTTGCTACTGTACCGAAGGGGAACTGCCCAACATGAAATGGGTTGCACCATGCCGTTGTACAGGGAGCCTTCAGTATGTCCATACAGACTGCCTTTTGCGTTGGATCGATGAGAAGCAGGCTAGCTGTCAGCGCCGACACACCGTGCGTTGCCCTCAGTGCAAAACTCCCTTCATTGTCTCCGTGGAGAATCGGTCCTTGTTTGTGAAAATTGGCGATGCCTTTCGGGACATTGCCGCTGAGCTCAGTCCGATCGTCTCTGTCCTCAGTACTGGCCTGTGCTTTTGGGCTGGTCTGGCCTGCTACGGCGCCCTGGTCTATCGCACCACCACCAAGCGCACCATCGCCTCCCTGATAGCGCGACATCACCCCATGACCCTCATCTCCCTCCTACCGCTCATTCCCTGCAGCCTGGTGGCCACCAACCTTGCTGCCAGCCTCAGCTACCAAGTGCGCATCGACCATGATGGTAGCCTACGCATTCAGGTCCACACAGAGGAGGATGAGGATGCGTTGGCCGAAGAGGACGAGGTCAATGCCGCTCTTGCTGCCTGGAACGACCCTGGTGACGCAATGCATGCCGCTGAAGCTGGCATGGAAGCCCGCGCTGCAGCCAACCCGTTGTTTCATGATGAGGAGGATGATGGTGGTACGTCACTTTCCAGCACAATCATTCCCCCCGCCATTCAGCCCTGTGTGTGACACGATACCGATCACATCCTGAGACTTGCCTTACGCGCCTACCATTCACCCTTTGACTCCTTTGCCGTTGATACAGATGATGGCTTTTTGCCCGAGGAAGATGATGAAAATGATGATGAAGCGCGACGGCTGTTGGAGGAACATGAGCAACTCGAGCAACCTGCTCTGCGTCCGAGAACGGCCTATCCTCAACTCGTCATGGGTAGCCTTCTCTTTCCCTTTGTAGCATCCACCGTGGGAGATCTCTGTTTCTCCGCCTTCATCCCCAAAACTTTTGATCGCGTCGTACTAGGTGGTGCGTTTGTCCTCTGCTCGCTGTTGTATCGAGCATCCCAAAGCTTCGACAAGACACATTTCCCATGGTTGACTCCAGTTGTGGTCATGAGGCCCAACTTTTCGACCGCTGGAATCAAAAGGGCGCAACTTGACTCGATCGCTGACCGCTGCCGTATTCTATCGTAGGCCTGGTATATCAAGCATCAACGTCAGCGCTTCGAAGCATGTACACACACTACAAGCAGCAAGAGCACGCGCATCGACGCATTCACAACTTTCACGGCGCAGAACCCTCAATCAACGGTCCATGATCTGGCAGCAAAACCTGCCTGCGTGCTCGATGTCATGTTGGCTGCATAATTGTTATGTCGACTGTTGACGGGTTGTCCCTATCCTCTGCTTTGTTATATTTTGGTGTTTTAACTGGTTCGATGGTCACGCACTCATGTACAATTAGCTGTGTCTTTTCCGCCATGCGCCCTTCGCCAAGTTCCTTGACCTGTACATCATACGGCCCGTAGCAAGCCCCTGCGTGTTGTAGCCGTGTTTGCTCGCGTACGCTAGTCCTTTACTTTCGACCCTCGCCGCCATCGTCAAGGACCTGGCAGACTGAATTGGCATCATATGTTTGATGGCGTCGCTTGATATTCACAAACGCATACACGAGGGCGACAAAACAAAATTCAACTGAAAACAGACAAGGAGCGAGTTGACAATTGCTTTCTTTTCAACAACTCGACACAAGCGCCAACCGGTATTTCCAACGTAGTGCGCTTGCATATAACTTAAAAAAAAAGGAGCATGTCCATGACCGTGTAGAATGAGGCGAGACACAATTCGACGCTGGCCTGCCCAATTACTTGCGCTGTGGCACTTCTACAATCCAATGCAACACACACATGAGAAAAGCCATTGTGAGAACCTAAACTGCTGATGATGCACCTCCACACGGTCGTTGATGGCGGGTGCAAACATACTGCGCAAAGGCGTCATGCGCCGAGGTTTGTTGGCAGCCTTGGAAGCTGACATGGGAGAGGAGGCCAGAGTTTCCATGCCGCTGAGCACAACCGAGACGCCCTTTCCTGAAACCGACGGCGTGACGTCACCCTTGTAAACTTGATGCTCGCCAGGGCGCTCCTGGTGATTCAAAATATATTTGTCATGGCGACGCAGATCCCTAGCTTCGGGACGGGCCACCGTGGTGGCACCATGCACGTTGGGCTGCATGACAGTGTCAGCTAGATCGACATGGTCCGCACTACGCTGGTTGTAAATCTTGGATTTAGCCTTTCTGGCCTTGGCCAAGCGCCGTGACTCTCTGACAAAAGGGGGACAAAGGATTGTGATATCACGGAATGAGGCGCTGCATATAAAAGATCGAACTTCAAGGTGGGGGAGGCGGGGATTGGCATTGATCACTTACGCTTGTTGCACCGCCACCTCTTGGCGAATGCCTCCCGTCTCGCCCTCGCTGTCGTCTGCTGATGAAGCGTCATCTTCTTCCATCTCCTTGTCTTGGGTCGGCACAGCATGACCGCTGCCCCGCGTGGGTTGGCCACTCTGCTTGACAAACTGGAAACCACGGGAGAGGGCGGGACAGATCGCCAATTGTGCTGGATGAGAGATGTCGCCATGATACCCTAAGCATGCAGGAGTGACGCCTATTGGGCCACATACATCAGCCTTTTCGAGGTGCTCCATAGCCTTGGTCACACGATCCATGAGCTGCTGCTTGGAGCGAAGAAGATCGCGTTGCTCAGCTGTCATGCGGTTCATTTCGGCGCGTGCCAAATTTTCCTTTTGTTGGAGCTCGTGGTGCAGTTCCTGAGCTTGACGCTGTGCCATGGTGCCACAATGTGCAAGTGAGGCGTTGCGGACGCGACCACGGGCGGCCTTTTTGTTCAGTACCTACCTCATGCTGCCGGTGATATTCACGTAAAGTGTGCTCGTTGTTGGCTAGTTGGTCCTCAAGGACAGTTATACGGCGCGCATTGGCTGCAGCATCCGTCTAAGAAAACGACCACATATCAGCGGATGCGCAACCTTCTGCTTGGCACGCTTGTCAAGGCTAGCTCATGACCAGTCAGTCTAAAATTCAAGCACTTAGATGCCGAGAAGCAACATAGCACACCTCGGCCTTTTGGCGAAGACGCCGCTCCTGTTCCAGCTCTCGAGAGAGCGCGTCCACCTCCAATTCGAGCTCACGTCGAGTGTGCGCAGCTTCGGTCTGCAATGTACGCAGCTGGTCGGAACAAACAAGCCATAGAATAGCGTATGGATGGATTGAACGGTCTTCACGTCTTTACAAGCTCGAGTAAGGAGGCATTCGGCATTCGGCATTCGTCCTCGCACCTTCGTGTTCTCATGCAGAGCTGCTTCAATCTCTTCCTCGGCTCGCTCCAAATCGGCCAGCGTAGAGTTGTACTGATCCTCCTGTAATACACAGCGTCAATGGGCAAGATACATCAGCAAGGCCTCTTGGACTGTGACGAGGCAAGCTCGAGCTGCGTACCACAGTGGTCAGGTATTGGCGAAACTCCTCCTCCTCGTCGGCGAGGGCGCTGTGGGCACGACGCAAGCGCTCATCGTAGGTCTAGTAACAATGAAACGTCAACCTCATCAACGAAGATCGATGGCGACTCGGCAGCAAAGCAGCTAATGCGTACCACAGCTGACTCATAGAGACGTTGGTGACTCTCGCGTTTCGAGACCAGCGCCGGTGATGCAGCCGTGTGGTGCGCTGGAGTTGACATTCGGCGCGCTTGTGCACTGGGTGTTCGAGGTCTGGAGCAGGAGGGAGATGCAAGGCGGAGTTTGAGTCAAGTGGTGAAACAATGTGACATGCATTATGTTGGAAAAAAAAGAGTACGTACGCCGAAACGGGGCTCAAGGCAAATGAAGGATCATCGTTCGACAAATCACTGTCCAGTGACTGGTTGGCTTCGGCGGCAGCTTGGCGGCGCGCCTTCATACGCATGCGATGCTCCTGGCTTCGGCCTGGTGTGCCTGCTCGTGAAAAAAAGAAAAGAGTGTTATGATTTCCATTCGATAAAGGATACAAGTCGTGTAATAAAAGAGCCAAAAGTGCGAGGCTTGCATTGCTCTTGGCATGCGGGCCGGGTGTGTGTGCGCACGCCGTGATCAAGCAACTTACCGTGGTCCTGCATGACATGAACGGGGGCCTCCACTTGTACGTCGCTGGCCACCTTGGCAAAATCAAAAACGTGCGCTGTCTCGCTGGCATCACTCTGAGCCGGCGAGGCACATACCACCATAGCCGCCTGTACATGCCCGTCCCGACACGGTGGGTGAACAACATGACGCACCATGCAAAACAAAGTACACCAAAGCAATTTCCAGAGGAGATCGGAAAAAGCATGTTGCGTTAGACAGTGCGCGCTGACGTACCAGACCATCACCTGTCAAAAAGCGCTCAAAAAGTTTTGTCAAGCTACTTTCGTTAAACTTGGGCTTGCCACGCGAACCATTGTCTTGATTGCGGCGAAGCGCTTTCATGCAGTCACGCAGAACAGAAAGGGACTTGTTGATAGCCCCGGCCTCCTTGCGACGATCGCCGGTGCTGTTGGTTCGCGAGGTACGCTCCGAGCCGGCGAGATCCACCAGCGAGATATCCGCCACGTGCGGGGTCGGGCCGTCCCGTTGCACGTCGTTGCCTCTCATTGACGTCGGAGCGGACACCAGCTAGAAAGCAACCCCAATTGAAGCAGTGTATGAGCAACAATCGGTGAGGAGGCAAGCTCAGCCAAGTCAATATGCAATCAGGGCTGGGTGGGTGCAGAGGGCGGTGGCCCCTGAGTTTGAGAGCGGCAAGCCAGGCGAAATGGGACTTACGCGAATCGTAAAGATGCTGTGGCTGCGACTTGACGTAGCATTGAGATCGGTGGCCGCTGTGGCACGTGTAATCTGACCCTGATGAAGCAGTTCAAAAGCTTCCTCGGGTGTATGCACCTCTTTCCAGATGGCCTCGCGCACATAGCGATGCCCTGTCTCATCTTGGGAAATCTTCAGGCTCTGACGCGTTGGTGGTCGAGGTTTGGCTGTTCCAGAGGGATCGAATTCTACAGGCAATGGGGAAAAAACGAAGGCAGGCATGTCATGAGCGTGGCCAATGCGGTGCGTGTGCAGAGGCAAGCGTCTTTAACTTGGAAAACATCTGCGCCTACACAAGCCGGGCATGCCGAGTGCAGCAAAGCAAATAGCAAAAGGCGTACCAGGCTCCTTCTCTGGTGGTGGGGGGACAAGTAGATCGTAGCAGTAGTTGTTGTAAATCTCCACGTACTGCACAAACACGCCATAGCGGACGTCGTCGTGCTCAATGTCCACCTGTTGCAATGAGCATGGCCAGCAGCACAAACAGTCATCAAACACGAAGGAGGGGTTGCTTCACGTCAATGGGAAGCCCGCGCAGGCCCATTGAATATGTACCGTGGTAGGATCATAAGATCGGCGTCGGTGGGCAATGTCCACGTCAGAGCGGTCCACATCCATGAGCTCCTTGTCTTCGGGGAAAGCCTCGCGATGGGCTAGGCGCAGGGCATGGGCCTCTTTGGTGGGGCGGATGCTGACGGTGTTCCGGCGTGACTCAAGATCAAAGGTAAACCATTTCGCGCGATGGTTGCGAATGCTGTTGAAAATGACATCCAGGGTCCGGTTCAAGATGCCACCTGTCGCCTCGTTGCCCTGTTGATTTCAGTACAGCACCCATCGCTATTCACGTGAGCCAAGTACGACGCAACGGAAAGCGGGGCAACAAAGCCCCCAAGGGTGTGTCGTAAGCGCGCCCCCTTGACCTTCTGACTGACCTGCATGGTATAGGTCTTGCCGGACCCCGTATTGCCAAACATAAAGAGGATAGAGGAAACACCTTCGAGACTCTGTTTGACCATTGGCAGCGCCGCTGTTTGGAAGACCTGGGAAGCACCAGTGGGCGAGCAGCGGCGGTCAAAGTTGATATGTAGCCTGTGATCGCTGCGATCGAGTACGTGATTGGACGCTGTGCAGTGGATTGAGGTGAAAAAACACACCTCTTGTTGGCTATCCTCGGGCTTGAAGACATGATCAAATTCAAACCGCTTCTGGGACATGCCGCTCTTGCGGCGGTTGGGCTCTTGGAACACCACGCTCGTCTCCGTCTCCCGCCAAAAGCTGGGCGGGGCGCGTTTTTCCTCGCCTATCAAAGGCTTGGGTCGACACATGACCTGCACCTCGCGCCGGATGCGTGGGCCATCCTGTTTGTTTTGAGCCGGCTGTTTGCCGCGGCTGGGAGTCCGGCTGCGAGCGGAACACGGGAGCAAATGACGCGCTCGTGAGTTCATGCGTTCCGCATTGGTGTGCTAGCCAAACCGTGTTGTGAAGGCAAGCAAAGGCTCAAGAAATAAGCGCAGCAGTAAGCTAGCAGCAATGCCTCACTCCAACCGCCCGCGGGCCGCTGGAAAGGTGCAGTCTCACCTTGCCATGACGCTTGGATTGCCTGAAAAAGTCTTTTCAAACGCTCACGAGTGAAGGCAAGCGACTTTGTTCAAAGGTTTGGAAAACTGTCGCGCTTGCTGTTTATCCAAGCAGCCGCCAGGGGACGGGTGCCACAGAAAACGTGTGCGTGCGTGTGTGACGCGAGCCGTCACCACACTCCAACACGGCAGCCAACGACAACAAGAAAAAAAACACACACACACCAGAAAAATTCCTGCCCATGGAAAACTGATGAATTCAAATTTTGGCGGTTTTCTATATTTAGAGATGGCTGATTGATCTGACAACACAATCTGCGGTCTTGTCGTTGAGCAGCGACAGCAGTTGCTCGCTCTGCGCAATCATCCATTGTTTTGTGTCAGCAAAAAGCGCGCCAACGATTTGTCGACTTTTTTTTTGGGTGTTGTCGGTTGTTTTGTTGTGTGTGCACAAATGCTATTTGGGCACCATTTCTTTGAGAATTTTTTTGCACGAGCAGGTTTCGCAGTGTGTCGTCGCAGGGTCAGTCTTGAGCCGCCACACCGTCGTCGGGCACGGATCGGCCACGGATCGGCCACGGCAGCACTGGTGGTGAGTCGTGCTGCTTGGGCCACCAGACACATGCACACAGACACACATGTGCCGCCACAGGCCTGGACAATTGATTTCGCCGCATGATGCTGACCAGATTTAGCTTCTGAGCTCAAGTTGCACCGCGCCTCCACGGAATCGCAAGGGCAACCCTCCCTCGCGCAACCCTCTGATCCCCGACTTGCATCATACTGAGCATGCAATTGCTTGTGAGAGCGCTCCCGCGCTCTGCGGGGGCGGTGGTGCGCATGCACGTGTGCGCGCTCTCGCACAGTGCGCGCCACTTCGTGGCCGCTCCGCCACTGGATGATTCCAAGAATCATGTACCCATTGTCGTCCAAAAGTTTGGTGGTACCAGCCTTGGAACCCCTGAGAAGCTCGAAAAGGTTCTCAACATTGTTGGCAAGTGGCACCGTGACAATCGGGTAGCTTGCGTGGTCAGCGCGCTCAGCAGCCATACCAAAGCCGAGGGTACAACCACGCGCCTGCTCAACGCCGCTGAAAACGCCGTCCACCAGGAACCCTTCCACCAGTTCCTGGACGCCATTGAGGACACCCACTTGGACGTGGTCTACACCATGCTCCGCAAGCACGAGAACCGCGAGATTGTCAAGCAACACATTAGCAAGGAGCTGCGCATGGTGCGCCGTTTCTGTGAGAGCCTCACCGTGATCCGCGAGCTCTCTCCTCGCTCCCATGACATGATCGTCGGCTGCGGTGAGCGCTTGTCAGCGGGCCTGATCGCAGGCGTTTTGCGCGAGAACGACATCCCCGCTGCCTACGTCAACCTCTCCAACCTGTTTCGCGATCCTCTCGACGCCTCCAAGACGGGCTACCACCGCCTCGCCACTGCCGCCATCCGCTCTTTCCTTGATCGTGAAGTTGATGTGGACGGTGTCGTTCCGGTCATCACGGGCTACATGGGGGACATCGAGGGGGGCATTGTCCAAGGCATCGGTCGGGGCTACTCCGACCTCACTGCTGCCCTTGTCGCCGCTGCACTCCGTGCGGATGCACTTCAGGTGAGCTTCGGTTTTCTCCCCCACCTATCCGGAACCCCGATCCTGCCTCTCACGCATTTTGATTACTGCTGTTACACTGCCACACCCCACCCCTAGGTGTGGAAGGAATCAGACGGCATCTTCACGGGCAATCCAACCAAAATCAACGCTGCGCGCCTGCTACACAACGTGACGCCCCGTGAGGCTGCGGAGCTCACCTACTTTGGCAATGAGGTAAAACTGAGCTCCACCGCCACTGCGAGCGCATGGTACTTCAGATGCCACGTACTGCCATGGCAGGTTTTGCTCATGCCAGACTGGACCGACGTCTACCCCATGGCGTCGAACAAACCAAATAGGTGCTGCATCCTTTCACCATGGAGTGCGCGATTGAAGCACAAATCCCCATCCACATCCTGAATACCTTCAAGATTGATTCGCCCGGGACTGTTGTGGCCCCAGGCCAGCCGTTTCACCGCATGCAAAGCAGTACGCACCAATTTCTCTGCGGCTGCCAACCTATGGACACGGCGTCATAGTTACTCTTTTCCCCGTGTTAACACGAGCCTGTTTGCTGTCGTTGCTCGTTTTGTTTCCCAGATGGTGTGACGGCCGTCGTAAGTAAAAAGAACGTTCGCGTCATCAGCCTGGCTTCCAACCGCATGATGAGCTCGCCCAAGTTCTTGGCTCGGGTGTTTGAAGCCTTTGGCAACCGTGGCGTCAAGATCGACCTCATCTCGACAGCCGAGACCAATCTCTCAATCGCCATTCACGAGTCGGTTCCTGATGCAGATGTAAGTTCTTCTACGCCGGCTCGTATTGACTTGCGACTGTGTATCCAACCCGTCTCACTCGCTCTCGCGTCCTCTTTTTGCTAGGCCGAGGCCCTGCTGCAAGATCTGGAAAAGGTGGGCGAGTGCACCATGGTGGACGGACGCGCCCTGGTTGCTATCATTGGTGAAGGCATGAAGAATCAGGTGTGTGCTGCGCATCATCTACCGGAGGCAGACCAGTCGTACCCTGCCCTTGACTCAAACTTGGTTGCCCTGCAGATTGGCGTGGCTGCTCGAATGTTCCGTTGCCTGTCCGATGCGGGCGTAAACTTTGAGATGATCACACAAGGCGCCTCCGAAATCAACGTCTCGGTCATTATCAACGCAGCAGACGCTGGTACGTCATCCAATCCGGGCCATACGAGACTTGATCATACTCATGGACAACACATGCCTCTTGTTTGCACACCATCTACAGATAAAGCCATCGCCGAGATTCATGCCGAGTTCCTCGAGGGGTCTGAGGCAGAGGAGCTGGAGGAGCTGGCCGATCCTGCCAACTGAAGCGATGATCTTCCACCAGAAGAAATGTGTGAATGACAAGTGTGAAAAGTGTTGTTATGGGCCTGAGTTTTGGCCGCTGTGTTTGCGTGTGTGCGACCCGGTGCCCACGCTAAGCTCTGCTTTCAAGCCGTGCCCCGACAAGTCGATGAGCTGCTAAATCGAGATTCAATCATGACATGCAGAATGCGCCCACACAATAGCACGTGTCGAGATCACCCCCCCCCCCACCCATCACCGGCAAAACAAAGGCAGTCGCATCTGGAAGAACATGAACAAGCGGGAACACCTGCACGGATTCCGATAATCAAAACGATATGCACGCGCCAAAAAAAAAAAAAAAAAAACGCTACCAGGAGCCAATTCAGAGGAGAACCATCAAACCAGGCCTCTCTATCTCGAACTTGCACGAATCTCATCACAGAATGACTCAAAGTTGTGGACAGTCGTGCCACCCAGCACCACGCGCATGGTTGGGTTTTCCTTGTTGAACTGAGCCACGCTGCGTGCCTCTTCAAAGGTCGTGCCACCCACCATAAATACAAAGACATCTTGCGGCCTGCGCAGCATCGGGACACACACGCAAGCACTAGTGAGCTACAAGGCCAGCCCGCTCCTGTCCCTATGCAACAGCGAGCAGCACGCACCTGTCCATCTGATTGCCCCGACAGAATGGGTATGCTGTGTCCTTCAGCTTGTTCTTGGCCAAGGCATCCAGAGTGGCCTTCAGAAGCGGTACGTGTTGCGTGTAGATGTTATCCACGCCCTTCAGACCACCGGTCATTGATTTGAACAAACCAGCTGCTCCCTTGGTACCAAACAAGTCGCTCTGGCGCTCGCTGGTTCCCAACCCAGCATAGGCCGTCACAGCGCGCACCAGCTGTGTCATAATCAACGGCGTCAAACCCAAGACAACACAACAAAGCGACAGTACGTGTAGGGGGGGGCCAGTGAGAAAGAAGAAAAAATATCACATGTACGAGCGCATAGCTGGCACGCAAGAGTCGGCAAGTAGCCGACTCCTTCGATGAAAAGCACCACACACCTGCAGCTGCGCAGGTTCAACGTTGGCCCGATGCATCATCTCCATAAATTCATCGAGGTTCTTTGGGTTCTTCTCGTGTCGCAACACGTAGAGTACCACCTGCAAACCCAGGATTCGCGTGAATACAGATCAACAGCGCCAAGTGGCGACCCATACAGACAGCTCTCGACATTGGCACACACCAAACGGAGCCGATCCAAGGCTGACAGACGGTGATCTGCCAAAAGTTCACGGATTTTCTATCGCACGCGGACAAGTGAACAGTCATTAGCTATTTGCTATTTATATTCAGCTGCAAAAGGTGATGAATAGCATGTTACTCAAGGACATACCGTGACCGACTCTGAGTGGCCGCCCTGGCAGGCTAACTCCTGCTCTGCCTCGGAGAGATTCATAAGCTGACGCACTTCCACAAGCCGTGATAGCTCAGTGACAATGGTCACGTGCTAGGAACAAGGCAAACGAGTTTCTGAGTCCCTGCGGCCAATCGCCATTCAAAGGCAAAGCGTGCCTGCAAGCCGCCCATCCTGCAACCAGCGTGCTCATGGATCCATGGCTGTGTAACCTCACCTTTGAGACGGTTCCGGACATGGCACGGAACTGTGGATAATTTTCAACAAAGGCCTGCCAGCAAAAAGCGTGTCAAATCGTGAGGGCTTCGATTGAGGCTAATGAGGCTGAAGACATGATAGCAAGCATGCACCTTCATATCCTCGATGCTCTCAATGTTCTCGTGGCTTTTGGTCTTGGATTGGAACTGTTCGACCAAGGAGCGGATGGCTTCACCAATCTAAGGGCCCAGTGCAGACGGTGAGCCAGCCAAAGAAGTGTCAGGCTTTGCAGCACTTGGCTTGTCTAGCTTGCGAGCGATCGTTGCAATACCCGACACAAAGTCACCATCCACATACTTCGCCAAAATTGGAATACATGTTCTCAGTGTAAAAGTCATCGGCTTCAGAGGACAAGACCACCTCGGGCATTTCCTTGGGCGCGCCAGGAACGTCTGCAAGGCTCACGCGATTCTTTTGAATGGTCAGAAGCTCGTGCACCATAGCTTGGTAAGTCCACTGATTTAAGCACGGCGTCACGGGATCGTCTCGGCGATCCAGGAGCTATGTTGGGCAGGGCAGGCATGCATAAGCTCACAATGAAAAGAAAAAGATTGACGCTGTATGTGCTCCAGCTGGGCACGTACCAGAACAAGCGGCTGGGCATCAGCGGTCTGCCGGAAGTCAAAAAGCTCAGCTTCTTGCTGAATCTGATAGGACAGCTCCTCGCCCAGCTTTTTGCATAGTTGGCTGCCCGCCGCATAGCTAGATGGGACACAGGAACCAGAACGTGAGGAGGGCGCGGCGGGTTTTGATGTTCCAGTGGCTCTGATTCATTGCCTCCTTCAGGAGGGCTGCAGACGAGGGTGGGGAGTGGTGGTGTGGCGCGAGCTGGGACCGATCTCTGAGGCGCACCGAATGGCGGGGCGCTTCTTCAGCGCCAGAAGAACAGCGAGGAGACCCTGGAGGAGCATGATAGTGAGTATTTGCACCGCAGAGCAAGCAATAAAGGTGTAATACAAGGAATAAGGGTCTTTGATCGTGGGTCGCACCTTGACACAACGCTTGAAAATGCCCTTATTCCAACTCTGCCCGCCTTCGATCGCACACCCGACCAGGTTGAAGGAAAAGAGGTGCTTGTCGACGGCAAGGTAGTCGGCGTACATTTCATGAACGTGCCGCACCGTCTGCAAAGGCCATGCAGTCCAAGTTAGTCTCAAAGTACTGAGGCGAGCGAGCCCTTGAGGAAGAGACTGTTTCTGTTGACTGACCTCTTGCTCATCGGCTTGAGCCAGCTTGTCCAGCTGACTTGGGGAAAGAGCATTGGTAAACACTGTGGGCGCGAGCAAACGTGAGCTGGATGTTATGGCTAAGAACAACCCCTGGGCAAGTGCGTACCGAGGTCATATTGGCTGTACTTTGGGCGACGCAGCTCCGTGACCATAGCATCGATCGAAGACTGTGGTTGTGATACGTGTGCCAAAAGAAGTAAGATCAGGTCGGGCAACGAGGGCAGCAACACCGGGCCATGTTATCTTTCAGTACGCACAGCGGTGGGTCGAAGAAAAGCGATGCAACGAAGATGTGTCATGGGCTCTCGGTTGGGTACGTCGACACGCTCGACCAAGAAGACCTCTTGCTGCAAGATCTCCGTCTGTGAATACACCATGCTTACGATCGAGGTCTGCCAGCGAGCCCAGTCAGCACGGGTTGTGGCGGTCATGTAAGGAAGAAGAGATGAGAGAGAAGTCGGGGGGGAACCACCGCGCAAGGGACAGACATCGGCAATAACGGGCGAATCTCGTCAAGCCAGGACGCACCGTTTCCTCATCAAGCAGCAACACCTTCATGCCAGCCGAGTCAGCCAGAAACTTGCTGATGTACTCGCGGACGGCCTTAATCACATCCATGGTTGACCGGTCGTGCAAAACCAGCAAAAAGACCGTTCAACAGCAGTTCAATCCCACTGCCCTCCCCCCTTGCCTCCTGCACCAGTGGCTGATCACACCACCAAGCTTGCTTCCAATCCCTCACTGCCCAAAAAAAAAATAACGAGCGTCACTCCCCTCCAACAACACATCAAGAGAAACTCTCACACACGAAAACAGAAAGAGCAGAGAGAGACGAAACGAAAGAGAGAAAGAGTGAGACAGAGAGACAAACAAAAGAACAAACACACACACTCTCTCTCTTTTTTTCTCTCTCTCTCTCACACACACACACACACACAAGAGATTTTAAAAAGAAAAAAGTCTTACAACACACCAATGCAACTGTAAATAGCAACAGCGAGATTGGAAGACAAAAAGCCCAAAGAAAACAAAAAAAAAGAGAACAAGAGGGTTGTGTGACTTTTTTTTGATTATTTTGCGAAATTTTGAATTGTTGGCGTCGGAAAAATAACAACGTGTAAAGACAGAATCCTTCGCCGTCGACACAACGTTGCTGGTGCCGGGCGCAAACGGCAGCCGCCTGCTCAAGGACGGATGAGCTGGCTTATCGTCCTAGGATCTGTTAGGTTGATTTCTTGAAGGGGCTTTGGAGCATTTAGGTGTATGTCATTGTAACGGCCGTTCAAAGCCGCTCAAGGCCGCCATGGCGGGGTCAGGTCAGTTCCAAAACTATTCAACTCGACACACGCACGATGCGGTGTGACGGTCAGCCGGCTGACGCTCGGCGGTCAACTGGCTTCGGGCACCATTGACGTACTCTTTCGGTCGCTTGATGGTCCTTCGAACGGCTGCCGCTTGGCTCATGGGGACCGAGTGTGGACGTGGTGCATCTCGATGACACGCTTTTGGCCCGTGAAAATTGAGCCCTCATGTGCATCCATGCATGTGCTGGCGGCTTTGTGCTATCTTGCAGGATCGGGCTGGCAGAAACCAAGCCAGGCGTTTGCAACCCTGAACCGCAAGGTATGCATCTTGAAGCTCGTATTATTGTGATGGCAGCCAAGGCAACTGGCAGGGCCGCTCTTTGCCGTGGTTTTCTGTCTGCTCTTTTCTCTGTAGCGGTCCATCTGTCAGCGCCCCAACGCCACGCCAGCATCGTCGGGTCGACACGCGACCTTGGTGAAATACTGAATGTGGCTCATCTTTTGTATCATCCTCTCTTGTGCACTAGGCGGCCGTGACGGCAGTGATCCAGGACCCAGACTACCAGGAAGAGCAAGCCCGCATCATTCGCCAATACCACGAGCGACGCTCTCGGCTGCAGCAAGAATCGACTCCTGCTTCGACGCACCCTCCGCAGCCTTCCCCGAACCATATTTCCGCTGCAGAGTGAGTACATCTGACTTCCCCAGCGATCCCCGTGGCGGCGATTTTCTCTTGTTAAGAGAGTCACTCGTCCATCCCCGCGTCCTATGTATATACATACGCCCGACCCGTGCTGGTGGCGCATCCTTTGCAACTGCCGTTTAGTCTGATCTTTGAAGTGTCGCTCACTCGGACATCGGGCCTCCATCGCATATGCACACAGGGACAGGGCTCCGCCACGAGGTATGGGCCAGCGAGGAGCGTGGTCACCGCCTGCAGCAGAGCGAGGGCATGATGTAGGCCGCCCTGAACAAAGACTAGACTGGAGCGCTGAACCATCGTCTCACGCTGAGCGTGACGAGTACCGCGGTCCTGAAGAGGCGCGCAGTCGCCGTGACCGATCCGAAGATTCGCACCGCAGCGAACGTCATGACGACCGCAACGAAAACTCCCATCATCATCGGTATCATGACCGCTACGATGATCGTTACCGTGATAGCCATGATGACCGGTACCGCGATCGCTACGACGACCGCTACGACGACCGCTACGACGACCGCTACGATGACCGCTACGAGACCACACGTCGCGACGGGCGGCGCCGCAGCTCTCAACGCCACTATGACGATGACCGGGGCCACGGCCAAGATCACTTTCATGCTCCGAATGGCCAGCGTTGGGATGATCATCGGCGGAGCTACCGTGGCGATCATTCCTATACGGATCACTCCAGTCGTGGCGAACGTCCCCTTCCATATGAACCTGATTCTCGGTCTGCTGGCAGGGACCGTCACTACCGACATCATCATGGCCGACACGAGGACCACTATCGCAGGTAGCAATGTGCTACTCGTTTACCTCCTGCAGACCACATCACATCGAATACTCATTCTGTGTCCTCCGACCCACCTGCTAATAGACGCCAGGAACGGGACAGCCGATCTCGGCGTGGTGATCGCTATGCTTCACCAGGATATCATCACAGATCCCGAGAGCGTAGCCCAGCACCGTACCCAACACGGCCATCCCATTCGCGAAGTCGCTCGCCCAGTCGCTCGCCTGTCATCCGCTCCCCGCACCGCCATCACGATCTTGTGCAGCGCGTCACGACAGACATGTCCGTCTTTGTCACGAAGCACCCCAAAGTATGCTGGATCCCGTTTTGTTCTTGCTTTCATTTCTTTGGCCTCTGGTTTTCCCTTGTGGCGAAACAACAAACGATCGAGCGCTCTGGCCTCATGCATGATTGGCCCGCGCAAATTCAGTACAAGGAAGAACAACGCTCCTCGTCCCCGCCGCGGGATGAAGCAACGACCCGCCGTGAAGTTGCGGCCGCGGCACAATCAGCACCGTCTGAAGCGCATCAAACAGCAGCCGACCCTGGCCCCACATCATCTGAAGTACGTCGCATCCTCATTAGCATGCTCACGCTGTTTCAATCCCCATTCTCCTACCATTGCGCGTGCACGTTCACCGATGGTGGCCCACGGTAGGGGGCTTTGGTCAGCCCGACCTCTGCTGCAGAAGCTTCGCCCCAAGAAACTGGTAAGTCCGATGCTCTATCCCAAATTGCAGTTCTCCTTTACTTTTGAGTCGATCGTACGCAAATGGTTGCTGATAACCGCACATCACATCCTTGCTAGATCACGTCTGGTACACCGGCAGTGTGGGACAGTTTGACCTGGTGAACGAAGTTGGTCAAGGAACTTACGGCCAGGTACCAGCGCACAACCTTGACTTGTCATGACACTCACCGTTGTCAATTTGGATCCATCTGACACTCATGTGTGACTTTGGCAACTGTTCATGCATCGTCGGCGCACCATGGGTTTGGCCAACTCGCTCACAGGTTAGCAAGGCGCGGATCAAAAACACAGACCAGCTGGTAGCTCTCAAAATGCTCAAGATGGAAGCTGATCGAGACGGTATGAAATACAACACCAACGCGGGATCTGCTTGCTCCGGAGTGCTTTGCTGAAGTTCGTTGGCTCACGTCCCCTTGCTCAAACAAACCCGCCAGGTTTCCCCGTTACGGCGCTACGAGAGATTAAAATTTTGCGCCAGCTGCGCCATGAAAGCATCATCAACTTGATCGGTATCGTCGCCGATGTCCATAGCAATCGTGACCTTCTCAAGCGCAAACCGGCAGCCTTTTATCTGGTATTTGAGTACATGGAGCACGACCTCTACGGCCTCTTGTCCTCCAAGCAGTGCACGCTTGACCAAGAGCAGATTCGCTACCTCATGTTTCAGCTTATGGATGTGCGTTGTTGACCACCTATGCGAGAGTACGGCCGGCCGGCCGGCCCATCGCCCCGCCTCACGCCGTTGTCACGTTTTGTCGTACACTAGGGACTGCGTTATTGCCATGCCAAGCACTTTATCCACCGTGACATCAAGGGTGCCAACCTTCTGGTGGACAACCAATGTCGACTAAAGATTGCAGACTTTGGCCTTGCACGACTTTATGAGGATCGGAGTAGGGCGTATACCAACAACGTATGTAAAGGGCGGTTGCGCGCTCCCAACCACTCTTTCTTTTCCGGTCAGAAGTTGACACTTGGAGATCGGCGTCACCTGACCCCTCTCGTGTTGAACGGCAATCCAGGTGATTACGTTGTGGTACCGGCCACCCGAGCTATTGTACGGCGCCGAAGTATATGGCCCAGAAGTGGATGTCTGGTCGGCTGGTTGTATTTTAGGCGAGGTGAGCTTGAGTTTGTATGATGACACGTGAACATTCGGAACCTTGAGATCGTTTCATGCTTGACCCAGCCCGCTCAGAGCCGCTGCCCTTGTCGCCCGAAACACATGCGTCCCTCACAATGTCTCTGATAACCACAATATGCTGCAGTTTTTCTTGTGCCGACCCATGTTTCGAGCCGGCACCGAGATTGAGCAGCTCCATGCCATCTCGATGGCATGCGGCACGCCTGATCCGACCAACTGGCCTGAGGCCCAAAACGTACGCGTTGACCTGAACCGGTGCACTTGCATCCTGTATCTTTTTGTGAGACCTCATGACTCATCCTTTCTTAACCCGGATCGCCAATGCGCAGCTCCCCGCGTTCAAGACCTTGCGGCCGCGCAAGCGCTACGAACGCAATCTAGCGGGATTTTTTCGAGCTGAGCAGCTGTACGTTCGTCGCCTGGGACTGCTATCTCCACTCATGGGTTATTCCCCAACTTCTCGTTAAAGAAAGGCATTTGCCTGTCAAGTGGTGTTTTTTTTTATTGTTCTTCTTGTCATGTGAAACTTGACGTGATCTACGGTCGTTGTTTCGTTTGCTGTCATTGTATGTAGACCGATGCAACCGCCGCCCTTGGCGCTTGATCTCCTTGACAAGATGCTGAGTCTCAACCCGGCTTTGCGGCCGACCGTGCCGGATTGCTGTGCCCACGCTTACCTATCCCCACCATTCAAAGCGCGTCCGTTGGAGCTGCCTGCAGGCACCGAGTGCCATGAAATGTGGAGCAAAGCCCAACGGCACAAGGCCGGTATGTATCGTGATGACCAACGTTGCCGCAAACAAGTGTGGTCCTTTTGAACGGCGACGTTTTTAATGGACTTGACTTGCCTCAAATTTGCGTGTCCTGTCGAAACTGCGACACCTCATGATACTGGTGTTGCCCCCACCCTGGACTTGCTTTGTTCGCGAATAGCCGCTGCGGCCAAGGGCCAGCCTGTCAGACCTCCCCCTGAGTGAAGACGCATCCATGTGCACAAGAGTGTGTCTGCATGGGGTGTCTATCTTTCACGACGTGCCTTCAAACCGCGATTGATCCAGTCGTGTTTTGTTTCATGTACCGACTGACAACCAATGACCTCTGAAATCGACTTTCTTTGATCACCTGTGTCTACTTGCGCAAGTCATTCCACTCTGAGCGCGATTGGAATCCATCCCTCGCTAGTGTTTTCAGATAAAATAAAGCGAAGCGAAACGAAGTGATGGGAATGGGCTGGTGGCCACATCTCATTGAACTTCTTTGTCAAGGAAAAAGTCACAGAAGGGGATCTCTTTCAAAGTACAGTGTTCCCGTCCTCGTCGCAGATTTGTCTGGGGTTGTGGCGAGCGCATTAGTTCTGTTCCATCAAGAAATCGACCCTCCTCGGGTTATTTTCGATTAATTTTCTCGAATTTATGCTGAATTTTTTTAGTTTCTTGTTCTTAGTCGGCTTTTTCGTGTGCGCATGTGGACTGCGGTCTTATGTGGGCCACATTAGATTTGAACGTGAACGATTGGAGACATTGCAACCCTAAATTTTAACACTCGCGACACTGACAAATCAAATTCTAAGGACGACATCACGCAAATTGCCACGCAAGCTCGCTGAAGCAAAGCGACGACGCGCTGGCTGATAAGCAAGCTCGCAGGTGCTTTCGTCGGATGGTGCGCGTCTTACACTATGTGGAATTTAAATTTCTGATTCGCGAATCTAATCTGTATCGTTGATAAGCATGTCGTAGCCATCCCGTCGCTTCTCCTGCTGCTCGCGGAAGTTGCCATAGGCAACAGCCATCATGCCAAGTAAAATCAAACCCATGCCCACATATTCCAAGGACTGCAGCTTAATGTTGAAGACAATGTAGGACAGGATCACCGTTACAAAGACCTAGCACGGCGCCGCGGCGAAACGCTTGGTGAGACGGCGGCGCCAAGAGCTGCGTGCAAAGATAGGGCACAAGACCAACCTGGAGGGGCCAGCTGGCCGTCACAACAAGACTGGAGATGTATTTGTTGCAGAAAGTGATGAGGCCGTAGCACAGAGCTGAGCTAACCAACACAGCGTAGGCCAGGCCACCAAAGGTTGCTGTTTTGATCACGAAAACAGACTTGTCTTGCTGGATGGCATACCGGATTCCCGTGGCAATTGCCATGCACAAAGCCCCAAACAAGTAGCTGCGACATGTCCCCATGTTTGTTGTGTCAGAGGGAATCACATTCACAAGTCAAAACAGAAGATGGGAGGTCCAGAAGAACCGACCTCCAAGCAGTGACATGCACCGGGTATTTGCCCCAGCGACTGATGGTGCCAGACCCATCAAAGATGTAGCGCTTTTGCAACAGCACGTAAAAGGCCATGGAGGAGCAGTTGATGATCAAAAAGATGATGCCGAGAATCTACGAAAGCACCAGAGGTCAGGGGGATGAACGACTCTCAACTCGAGACAGAGAGGAGAATGTGTAACCACGTACCTCGCTCTTTGCGCCAGAGCTGGAGGCACATGACCAGGTGGTCTTATCAGTCAATGCGCTGCACGTATCATTCAAGATCATGTTGATGTTCATGGGGGATGCGCATTTGCTGTCATTGTAAAATGATAGCGTGACAATCGAGTTATTACAGCTCGCCTCCAGCGCCAGACTAGTAGACCAAGGGAGTCGGAATGGTGTGAGTTGTTGCAATCAACAGGCTTGAGCAACCAGCAAGGACGTACCCAATCTGTTGATAGGCTGGGACCACTCCGTCAAGGTCGGACCACAAGTGGCAATCCTTCTGAGACCAGGTGGTCACGTTGTAGGCTGTATCATTGCAAGCTGTCGAATTGAATTGCTTGATATCAATCTGCGCACGAATGCCAAGACCAAAGCAGGAATCAATCATCAAAGAGGAGCATCAAAAGAAGTGAGGGTTGCCGACGAGGGCTTACCGAATCAGCAGAGCTGGACTTGGCGAGCGTCATGACAATAGCGCCGCCAGCTCCAAGGCAGATGCCAGCCACTTTGAACCACTGATACCAGCGGGAGGAGGAGGGAAGGCGCTCCATGCAGACGACAAAGGCAAAAAAAGCCGTGAAAACGGGAATCAAGGGCTGGAAAATGCTGGCTACGTCCGGTCCAGCGTAATAAAGACCCTCAATAAAGCCAAGCTGATTGCCAAACATGCCCGTCAGACCGAGCGCTGATTGGCCAACGCAAGAGTGCAGTCCCAGAGGCAGTGCATGCGTGATGGAGGTGATACATGAGTTGAGCCACAGGAGAAATCAGATCGGGTGGGGCAGGCTTGGGTGAAATGGTTTGAGGGCGTTGAAAAGCTTACCGCCAAAGAATGCGAGCTCCGAGACGCGGGGAACGCGAAAGCCGCCTTCGGTCACAATGGCCGCCAACATCAGAACAGGGGCACAAAAAGCATCGCGCAGGGTGCTAAAGACGAGGGAGTCGGCATGCTCATTCTTGGCAAAGGCCTGCAACCAGGCCATCGGATGAAATGGGCACCAGTCCATGAGACAGGTGAGATCGCCAATGATTCAGATCGAGGCGCGCATCGCAGGACAGTGGGAGCAAACATCGTTGCTGGAATCCAGCACAGGCGCCAGTATAGCGTACTGCGACAACAGACCTGCAAGACGATCGAGTAGCCTCCAAAGCCGATCTGAACGATGACCAGCAGAAGCAGAATGACCCATGTCGGCGGCTCCATCGTGATCCTTCTCGGTGGTCAATTCAACGTGATCCGACTTCAGCAACCCCGTGAACAACACAATGCCAATCATCAGTGAGTCACATTCTCAATTCTCCACCGCCTTGACTCGGTCCAACTCCCTCCGCACCGCCCTTTCGTCCCTTTCTTATTCAATACACTCGCACACACACACACTTACGCTTCAAAAAAAAAATGAGAGAGAGAGAGAAGAGAGAGAAGAGAGAGAGAGAGAATTGGTGGAAGAGAAAGGCAGAAACAGCAAAGGCACAGAAATAGCACAACGACCACATGAAAGGAGTGAGAAGGAAAACACAAACAAAAGAACACACACACACAACACAACACACACACACACACACACACACACACACACACACACACACACACACACACACACACACACACAAAGCTTGCAAGCGTTTGGAATTCATTTTTGGCGGGAAAATGGCTGATGAATTGTCGACATTTCTCTCCTTGGGGATCAACGTTCATGTCTCGGAGTGGTGTTTCGTTGGTGCCGGCGTCGCCGGCCGTGGCCAGTCCGGTGGTGCCCTCAGGACAGTCGCCATTCCGAGTTGTCCCTCGGACACCAACCGTTGAGCGGGAGCTGCAGCTTTTGCCTCGTCGCGCCGTTATTTTTCGGACCCCGCAAACGCCAGTCACACTGGCTCCCTCGCCGCGCGTCGTTCCTCAAGGAACCCCGAGCCCTGGGGCACACAACGCTGTCAACCACGCTTCTCCTGAAGCGTCCCCTGCCAGGTACACTAAAATTCTGCTTGCCTCGCCAATGTGTTCGCCTGATAGATGGCATTGTCACGCATTGTGTGCTTAGACCAGCGCTCGTCGCGCCTCCTCAAAATGCGGCCGAAAGCACCGAATCGGCCGACGAGAGTCAATTGTTCGCGTGATTTACAAAAAACACACACATCCAATAGGACTTTGTGCGAAAGAAGATGCACTGGTCTGAGAACCGCGCCAGTCACAAAGAATTGGTGCATGCAAGGCGAACAAACCCCTTGACAGGGCCATAAAAGATATCAAAGGTGTGGTGTATGCGGGTGTGTGGTTTCGCCAAGCCTGGCTGCAGACACCGCGGTAAGCAGCAGGGCGTGTGGATCCATGTGCTTGGGCACGCCTCGTCAGAGGTGGCACCGTGATGATCTGCAATGCCACACCTTGGTGAGTCGAGAGTTGCTTGTAGATGCCAAACAACGAGGCTCAATTAGAGCCCAGTTCGGCCTCAAGTACTGCGAGGCGATCTCGGTTTCGTTCCATCTCAGCCTCGTGGCGTTGTATATCCATGTCGGCCTGCGCGGCTTCATCCTCAGCTCGCTTGAGCTCTTGCTTGATCTGGTCCAGCTGCATTTGCACCGTGCGCAGGTCCATGTCTGCCGGTGTTGCCGCTTCAGCCGCCGCATCGACCGAAAATTTATTCAGCTCTTCCACCTTGTCCTGTGCATCCATCAACAAACCAAGTCATGACGGCTCTTCTCACTCAAAGCAAACACAAACACGCAAAGCAAGAGCAGCCACAGCAACAACCAGTCTCTCCGTCCTGCCTCCTCCAAACCATTTGCACCAAAAGGACAAGATGGTGCAGGTCTTACCAAGGATGCCTTGATCTCGCGGCGTTGGCTCAGAAACTCAGCAACGCGCTCGTCAAAGGCTGACAGGATTGTGGGAATGTTGCCCACGCGAACTTCGGGTAAATTGAGAGCGGCCACCAGCTCTTGCAGCTTGTTCTTGGCAAAGGCATACATTTCCGCAGACCCCTGAGTCTATATTGGGAGAGCTCGGTGCACATGAGTGCAGGCGGTGCGTTGTTGAGCGGTGCGTGTGCGATACTCGTGACAGCCATGACTTACCGGTGCCTCGGGCTCAAATTCCAGCTCTTCAAAACCAGCGCGGGGAGGACTCCCATTTTGGCGCCAGAGGACAAAGTCAAAGTAGAGGCGCGTAGCGATGACCTGACCGATCCAGCCTGGAAGCCAATAGGTCGTTTAGAGGTTTTCCATGCTCAAGCAATAATCCAGTTTGCCACGAAACGTACCGTCAACTGTGCTGGGAATGATGCGAAGACCATCAATCTTGTCGGCAAGGACGTCATCACCGGCAAAGCGGAGGAGGCCAAGGGTCATCAGAGCGTACAGGTTGCCTGGGGCTTCTTTCAGGATCTTTGAGAGGTAGGGAGGTGACTCAACCAAGGCAGCTGCTGTGCGTGCATTTTCCGAATCTTGCTTGAGACCCCGACGCCCCTCATGGGCAAGCAGAAGCGAGACGTAGCAGTAGAGGGAGAGAACGGCATCGTATTTCTCTTCCACATCGTCGAGGCGGTCGCAAATTTGGAACACGGCGCGTCGCCAATATGGCAGGCCCTTGCTGCTATCAAAAGCACTGACGGCGTCTTGGATATACGACTGATGGTTGCGACGCCAGTCTCGGTCCACGACGTGGAGCTTGGGCTGGCGAGGCTTGTTTGTTGCTGCTGCACCAGCCTGCGCGACACTGAGACTGCCTTGACCAAACTTGGCATTGGCAACTGGCTCTGCAATCGGTTGTTCTTCCACAGCCTATCAAATCCAGAAGGTAGGTGAAGGTGAGACACAAACACAGAAAGAGAAAGAGAGAAAGGAAAGACAACTCGCAAAATTTTAAAAACCAAACAAGCCAAAAACCGACAACAACTACCATGCTCAAGATGCTTGCGGGCTCACCTCAACCCCAGAGGGGAGGTCGCGGTCGGACTTGATCCAATCAAGTAGATCACCCGCTGTCACATCGTTGATGTCGGAGGTGCGACAGTAGTACTCTGTTTTTCCCCGGGGGCTCATGCGCTTCCCCACACGAACTTTACCCTCTGCCATTTGCAACTTGATCCACCTGTTCGACAGTCAGATCATGGGATGGTTGTTCGCGGCATGACGGTTATCTTTGTGCCGGAGACCAAAGCCAAGAAAGTTAAGCGCGGGCTGTGCCAAAAACAAACCGGATTTCAGCATCACGCTCCTCTTGTTGCATCCGTGCAATCATGTCGTTCCTAGTGAGCAGCGGTTGGGTCGAGGCTTTGAGACACGGCATCGGATGGAATAGAGAGACTTCAAACCGGCGTATGGGCCGACGTATGGGCCGGCATATGGGTGGACGCATGGGCCAACGCATGGGCCGACTTATGGGCTGACCTATGAGCCGGCGTCTGGGCGTACACTCACATTTTGCGCTGCTTTTCATGTTCCAGGCGTCGCTGGCGCTCGGCCTCCTTGGCAGCGGCCAACCTATGGCAAAGGAGGGCTTGAAATGAGGAGAGGCAGACAATAATGCAAAGCGATCGTCATAGCAGGCGCAGAACAGCGCGGGATCAAGGTGACATGTCAGAGCGAACGCACTGGGCGGCTTCAGAGCGCTTCTTTGCGGCTTCTTCTTCTGCGCGACGGCGAGCCGCATCTGCTTCCTGCTGGCGGCGCAGTTCTTCTTCTTCCATCTCTCGTTGCTGTCGTCGCATCCGCTCAGCCTCGGCATCTACCTCGGCAGCTCGTTGACGGGCCATGTCCTGTAGCCGTTGTTCGTTGGCTACACGCTTGGCCTCAATGCGGGCAGCCTTTTCATTACGAGCGCGCTGCTCAGCCTGTCATTGTTGCAGGGTCGGATGCACCACACGTGTATGAATTCAAAGCCAGGGTGAGGGGGCACACATGTGCACAGTTGGTGAGCTCAGGTCAGGAGAGCCCAGCCGCTGCAGACTAGCAGGGTGTTAGCCAATGAGTGGCTAACCTCGGCCTGGCGACGTTGCTCATCCTCCCGCCGAGCTTGCTCAGCGCGTTGAGCTAGCACTTTTTTCTCGGCCAGCTTCATGGCATCGATGCTGGGGAAGAGTGCACCCTCAAGCTCGGGAAAGCTGGACAAGGGCATGGCGACGGTGGCTTGCTACGTTCTGCACTCGTCTTCGAGGCCTTTCTGGTGTGGTAACAGCAACAGCGTCCCCAAAAATCAAAACAAAAAAGCCAAGTCAGCGCGGCCCAGGCACAGTGCTGAGTCGATGAGTCGGAGGAGCAAGCCTGCGCAGCTCGCCTCACCTTTGAAACCGTCGAGAGAAAAGCCAGACTGGGGCAGAGAAGAGCCAATCGCGGATGCAGCGCCCAGCAACCCAGAGGGTCGAGCCAAAAAAAAAAAAAAAAGGAGCGAGCGGTAAACTGAAGAAAAATGGCAGCATTTGGTGTACCTCAGACACACCGATACGAGTGAAGGGAGCGGGATCCGCCCCATCGCACGATAAAGCAAGCGGGTGTGGCGCCGACAAGTGCATGCATGCAGATACATTTGAGTTCATTTCCACTTGGTAGCGAAAGGCTTGAACAACAAAAACACAAAACTGTGTCTGAAGGAGAGTTATCAGTCGAAGCTCCTCTTCTCTCTCGCTGGCACTTGATGACTTGTTTGCTTGAGGCGTGGCCGAGGGGGCGGATCAATCAAGTCATCAATGCACGTCCAGCAACTTGATCCAGCTTAGGGTCTTTGGAAGATCAAGAAATCAAGAAATCAATTTGCGAACTATGTGCAGATCATGATTCGACGCTGAGATCAACAAACGGATTGCCATGATCGAAAACACTTCCCGGGTCGGTTGATCCCAAGGGCTACCCACGGGGCACCTATGGTGTCAGGCTGGTACGCTGCATTTGAATAGCGGCTGCATTGACGTAATTGTCCTCGGGCATCCGCACCATGACGGCGGGCGAGGCCTGCACATTGGATGTGCTGTCTGATTGAAGCTGCCCAAAGGTACCAGGCTGGGCCAAATGAGAATATTCATCTTCCTGTATCGCGATCACCTAGAGAGTAAGCAATACGGCCCACAGGGCAACCCACCCCGTGCATTGTCGGGGACGCTCAGGCGCAGGTGAGCGTGCAGGGTAGTGCTCAAGAGATGAGTGCAACCGCAAAGGCATTGATTGGTATTGGGACGGGGTAGTAACATACCGCAGGCGGTTGACTGCTGTTCTGCGTGCCTGGGTCAAGGCCAGAGGCTGGCAGGTTGACGTAGGTGGCCTCAGTGCTTATGGCTGACGGCGGCGGTTGAGTTTGGCTCTGACTAGATGGTGATTGCTGAGAATGCCATGCGGATGAGCGATCTTGCGGTGAAGGGCTAGTGAGACTGGACTGATAACAGCTTCTGGGCGAGGAATGAGAGTGCATACCGCGTGAAAGGAGTTGGGAGGTGGTAAGGTCAATTCCTCGTTGGTGTACTCGTAATCATCCAGGTCGTCATAATCGTCGAGGTCTGGACGGACCGGGGCGAGCGTCGCATGGGGACGACCCAAAGGCTTGGGCCGACTCCCATCGTTGGGAACGGCTTCATAGAGGTCATCATCCTCCTGATTGGCGGGGACGGGTGCTGAGCGGCTCACTTTTTGGCCATACGGGACGTTTTCGCCACCGAATGCCGGAGAGGCGGCAGAAGGCGGCGTGGCCACGGGGAGGGCCACACCAGAGCGAGTCACGGCATTGCCATACACGATGCCGTCCGGCGGTGTGGCGCCTGGGGGAGGTGCCCCCATGCTAGCCCGTGGGGAGCCAGACGTTGGACCGGAGTGATGCACGTGTTGGCCATAGGGGTCGGGAGCAGCTCGATTGCGGGGCAACGTGGAAGCCGCATCGGAGGGCCGGGGCGATGAGGGTACGGGAGGCGAGCCACTGCCGGGGCGGGGAGTTGAGGGTACAGCAGGCGGAGCTGCAGCGGCCATGGCAGCAAGGGACGTGCCCACAGGAAGGGTGGAACTGCGCGATCCCAATGTCGGTCGTTGCGTTTGTGGCACTGGGGGCGGTGCGCTTCCTGGAGTGGGAGACGCCCGCTGGTTGGGGCGCTGTGTCTGGGGCAAGGGAGGTGGGACGCTACCAGACAAAAGGCCTGAGCTGCGGTGGGGCAACGTGGCGCTGCGATCGGGAGTCGCGGAAGGCCCAGGGCGAGCGGGGCCCCGATTGGCGATGAATGTGGGGGTGCAAGTTCGACTGTCGATGGGAATGAGACGGAGGTGGCGGCCTTGCGACTCAAAGCCCGAGGTGGTGAGGGCAGACAAGAGCTGGTTGATTGAAGAGAAGACTTCGCCTTGCTTGATAAAGTATTGCGGGCCAGCCTATATCGAAGTGGCGGGGGCGGTATGCAGACGACGATCATGGATGAGCTGGAGGCCCGTGAATGAATGCCACCCGTCAAGTCAGGCCATCATATGGGTCACGGCGAGGGGCCCGCGTGCACAAGAGTATGGCAGGAAGCCAGTCGTTCAGCGCACCTGCTTGATTTTAAAGTTGGTGATGTTGTCCATGGTCTTGATGCACAGCGTGAGGCTGCCTGGAGCCGATTCGGACTCGCGAATCACGAAACCATGGTTGGGGACTGAGGGTTGCGAGAGGACCTGGCTGGCCCGGGTCGCGCCGGACTTGCCCAAGAAATAAGGGCAGCCCGTCACTTCTTCCATCTGCGTCGGGCACGATTGCAGTTGAGCGCGAGTGCAAGGCATTGCAGTGCAAGTGCAGACGACAGCCGAGCGGTCGGGACACGATGCGAAAAAAATTGGACGCGGTCAACGTACGAGACTGGTCCAGGCACGAGAAGATCAACAAAACACAACGCTTTGAGCCCAAAGAGGCACGATCAACGGCGCCGAGGTGAGGATGCCTCTTATCACTTCCAGCGCGTACACGACCTCTGCCCGGCGCGTACTTGTACTTGCTCTCCCGGATTCCAAGCAGGGCCCACAAGCTTTCGGACGAGCGATCGTAGCAGCAAGGCTCAACCAAAACAACCAAAAGAAGTGACACAGAGAGGCGAGAGAAAGATTGAGAGAGAGAGAGAGAGAGAGAGAGAAGAGAGAAAGATGAGAGAGAGAGAAGATAGAAGAGAAGAGATAGAGAGAGAGAGAAAAGGCTGAAGAGAGAGAAGAGAGATTCAGAGAGAGGGGAGAGAGTTTGAGAGAGTTTGAGAGAGTTTGAGAGAGAGTTCAGTCAAAAACGCTTGGTTGACGAGGCGGTCCGTTTCCTCCGTTTCCTTGTTTCCCAACACTACGTGACTGCTATTCTGTCTGCCGGTCTTGATCTGCATGTGTGCGTGTCGATCGCGCCGTGCCTTGACGCGCACTGACGGCGCCTCTGTCCGTAGAAAAAAAGAGGGTGTGTGCCGAGTTTAAAAATAGGTTCACAAGTCTGTGTAGGTGATATTCAAACAAATACAGTCCACAACATCACACTAACGTTAGTTTATGTAGCAGTTTTCCATGTTATCGTTGAAAAGATCCAGCCCTCACGTTTGGGACATGTCTCTGTCCAAGCTGGCGTTGCACACACACACACACACACACACACACACACACACACACACACATCAGCAGCAGTGATTGAATGTCAGCAAAAACGGCTTTGACAACAACGACTGTTGTTAACACCTCGACTTGTTCACAGCCAAAATGTGCTTATGAGTGTGAAAGGGGGAGGGGCGTACTCTCTCTCTCTTTCTCTCTCTCTCTCTCTCTCGCGCGCTCGTCTGTCACTCGTGGAGCACGGAGGAGGCAGAGCACACCGCCGACATGGCTGAGGAGGTGGCGGATGAGGAGTGGTTTGCTGGGCTGCAGGATAAGCACAGCATCGAGCAACGGTTGATGCAGCCCGGTATGTCGTTTTGCGCCACGACCGTCTTTTAACTATACATGTGGCCGAAGCCTTGAGCTGGGCGGCCTTGTGGTCCACCCTGGCTCCGGATTTATTTATCCGCCAGTTCTTTGCTTTGGCATCTCCTCCGAAACGACCTCAACCCCCCTTTTTATCTTGTGCAGGAGTGGCAGATGGGTCTTTCGTCTTGCGGTCGAGCGCGTCCGACCCTAATGCCTTTACGATGGTCGTGCGCTGGCAAGGCGCGCTCAAAAACTTTCGCATCTTTCAGGTGGGCTTTCCGATCATCTTTTCTCGTCACTACCGCCGCCTTCTCCGTGCCCGTGCCCGTGCCCGTGCCCGTGCCCGTGCCCGTGCATCCTCTTTTGTAAGCATGGCAACCTGGCCTTGACATAACGTTCGTGGCTTTAGCAAAATTACCTGTGGCATGTTTCCCCGACCATTGGATACCCCAGTCTCGGCGCCCTTGTCCACACACACATTGCCGACGGCATCGCCTCGGGCGGCGACGAAATCAAGCTGATCCCCTTTCCCATCAACCCCAAAAGCGGGTCAACTTCCGCTGCACCCAACTTGGAGCCCGAGGAAACATATGAAGACCTGGAAACCATGCGTCCTCAGTTGCCTTCTTCCCCCATGCCAAGTCTCGGCTCCCGCACCAGCTCCGTCATGGGGCGAACGCCTTCCATGAGCCGACCCCTGCCAAGCCTGCCGGGCGCCAGAGGTGCCTCCGTTTCGTCCTCCGCCTCATTCCGTGCGCCCTTGCCCACGCCAGGGGCGCCGCCAACCACTTTGCCCACCATTGACGCCGACAATAGCACGGCGCCTGCCCTGCCCCCGAAGCAAACTCGCGGTGGACTCAATTTGCCCTCCGCTTCAACTACCAATCAACTAATGGCTCAGAGCGCCGAGCTATATAACAACAGCGACGCCATTCAACAGAATGCCCCCACTGCCATGGATGATGGCGAACTCTACGGTAACACCGAGGCCGAAGAGTCTGTACGTCATGCTCCTCAACCTTTTTTCCCACCCCGACTCGTGAGCTCCAGCTTCCATGATTCAATTTCCTTGACGTGCCCTCCCTTGTTCACAGATTGCTCACGCCAGTGCACCAGCCATTGTCACGAGCGATGACGGCGAACTGTACGGCAATGCTGAAGCGGAGCAAAGCTACATGGTACGCTTCTACCTTTCCTCGTTCCGTCTCGACGGTAGCTAGCTTCGGGCAGGAAGGTGTTGGTCTGCTGGAAGGTGCTTGGCTATGGTGCATGCACTGATCTCATCTATACTTGTCTTTGTCACCTGGCATATCACGCACCTTGGTAGCCCATGTCGGGGGGCGATGCCGATCAGCTGTACGGCAACGCTGAAGCTGAATCCAGCACTGCCGGGCTGCCAGCCCCGTTGCCGCGTGCTCCACTTGCGGCGCCCGGCATGCCCGCAGTTGCCGATGACGACGAGCTCTATGGTAACGCCGACATGGATCTGCCCGCCGCCCACAGTATGGATACCTACACACCCATGACCGCCGACCTGCCGCCGCCTCGTGCCCCGGTCGAAGCTCCCGCTCCGGTCATTGTTGCTCAAGAGGATGATACATACGACGCCTTGCCGCCGCCTCGCGCCTCTGTCTCGTATCCTCCCGTTGCCCCAGTGTCGAACCCTGCTCCCATCATCGTGGCACAAGAAGATGACACCTACGACGCATTGCCTCCTCCCCGCGCCTCCATCTCTGCCCGGCCGGGTATGGCAGCCCCACCCGCTCCACTTTTTCAGGTGGAATACACACCACCCACGGAAGACGTAACCTATGGCAATGAGGACAATGTTCCGAATCTGGGCTTTGGGCAGTCACAGCCTGCCCCGCACCTTGTGCATGGCGCTGTGGTGCCCGACGAGGAAGTCTACGGTAATGCGGAGCTCGACGCTGCTCCCAACATCAGCTACCCCTCCGATGACATTTATGGCAACACGGAGGTTGACATGCACCACATGCAACAGACCTCGCCCCCTGCCACTTCTTTTGGAGCCGATTCTCGTCGTCAATCATTGCCGCTTCCTCTGCCCCCGCAACGCAATGCTTCCGTCAGCCAAGCTCCTGGATTCACCGCACCCCACACCATCGATGCAGAGGCATTGGCCAACGATCTCATTTATGGCGAGGACGAGGCTCCCGAAGTCATTACTGGCTTTGGTGGTGCTGGCGGTGCTGGGGAAGACGACATTTACGGCAACGCCGAGCTCGACAGTGGTGCGCCGGCCATTCCCGTTGTCGCGATGAACGACGATATGTATGGCAACACCGAGCTGGAGCGGGACATACCCGCGGCTACCGCCGTGGCTGCACCGGCCGTTCCCTTGCGGGACCCACCCGGAGGGCGGAGCCCTGCAGATAGCTATGGTTTTGATGAATATGACACCTCAGCCGGAGATGTCCTCAACTTTTCTTTCAACGTTGATCCCTCCACCGGTGGCTTTGAGGCCAACCTTGTCAGCGACTCGCCGTCACCGAGCGCGGCGCCAGGAGCAAGCGTCAACTCGTCTGATAGTGCTCCCCCGCCTTATGTTCCCCCGCCACGGGGCTCCTCCGTCTCGCAGTCTGCCAAAAACACGCCGTCCTTGCCGCCACGCACTTCGACCATTACGTCGCACCAGGCCCAGGCGGCCATGAGCTGTACGTGCATTGAGTTCAGCCTTTGGTTTTATCATTATTTTGCCAAAGTCTTGTCGTGGGACGAAACAATGCCGCCACTCACTGCCGACCTGTTCTCGTTGCCATTCCACCCTGATGTGATTTTGTTTGTTGATTTTGTGCTGTATCGGCTCCACAGACCGGGCTGATGCCTCGGAAAATCGGTTCCTGAGCATTTTGCAGTGCATCCTTGCCTGGGTTTTGCTTCTTTTTGTTATCTTAGGTGCGCAGATACCTGCCTGACCACCGCCGTGGGACGTGCCAGCTGCTGGACTGGGGCTGAGGTTGTGGTTACTGACGCTTTGTGTTTGGTGTCACACACAGGACTTTCCATCAATGACTGGGCAGCTCTGAACGCCACCTTGGGCATGGGCACCACATCCATAACATACGGCCTCGTCGGCGCATGTGCTGGGAGCACGTGTTACAAATGTACGTGCTTGAGATTGACTTGGTGGCCGCCTGCAAGGGGTGAAAGCTTCACACGTGACCTTGGTATTGTATTGGACGCCGTTTGTTTTTTAAAAAAAAATATAGATGCCGACTTGCCCGACATACCCTCTCGATTGCAGGCAGCGCTGGCTTTCTTCTGCTTGGCGCTCGTTGGTGCCTTGCTGACTGCCCTCTTTGCCACGCTTCAGGTAGTCAACTGCGTCACCACTCAAACGCGAGTTCTGCTCACTTGTCGTCATGAATTCACCGGCACCTGCACGTTCCCCACCTTCAGTTGTTGTCTTCAGTTTCCTTGCCTCCACCCTTGCCACAAGCCGTTGAACTCAGCAAGGGCCGTCTCTGGATCGGTTTTGCTGCGACCGGTACGATACGTCCTCGTCTGAAGGATTTTTTTTTCTCCTCTTGGCTCATTTTGCTTTGTGCTGTGCCCGATATGATAAGGCGTGATGGTGCTGGTCACGATTGCGCTGTTGGCAAGCGAAATGACCGATCTGGATGCGAGCTTGGTGGATTGTGTCTCCTTCACCAGCATGTTTGGCCTTGCCTGCGCCACTTTGATACTTTGGTGCGCTCACCTTGTCCTCCCCCCAACGTCCTCTGTCTCTTCTTTGCTTTTCTTTTTTGGCCCGCGTCCAAATATGGGGGATGAATTATGGTTGTTCTGTGAGCATCAAGGCAGACATGCACCTTTCGTACATGCTGTCTGCGAACGATTCGTTCAAGACAATATTGACTTTGACTCAGTGCTCACGTGTGCCTTGACCGATTTGTGCGACGCTACTGCCATGATACAGCACACTCGTCGTGCTCTTTACGTGGCCCGCCACATCCAGGCCGGTGGGCGCTGCATATGATGGCTTGCTCCGCTGGACAGGGCGCATCACATGGACTTCCCGATGGCCCTGGATCGTCATTGTGTTCAGCAGTGCCTCCATGAGTCTCCTTGCTGCTGGTATGTGGTGCCACAAGGGCGGCAGTGATTCTCTCCTACTTACTCCGGCAGCTCTGACTCATGCCGTCGACATCGGTTCCCTGCAGGTATTAGCTCCAATAACTGGTTTCTTGCCAACGATCTTGAATTCGACTTGCATGCCGGCCACCAGTACGTGCTCTTGCTTGCTCTGCAACACACGGTGGCCCAAACGCTTGATCGCTTGGGGCGACACTTTCGCTCGCATTGTGGCGCACAGGCTCATGCCATCTCCCCGCCAGCTTGGCGTGCATTGCCGGGCCGACACGCAAGTCGCAGGCGGTCGAGAGTTTGTTCATGACTGATGCTATCCTGGCGGGCTTGATGGTGCTATGGTTTGCTGCCATCGCCCTCGACTTGCTGGGCGTCCTCGTGTTGGAACGCTTTTCTTTGGGACAGTTTTTGCTTGCCCACGGCAATGCCGTTTGCACTCTTGCAGCCATCCTGATTGGTAAGCTGAAATCCTTCCCATGCCAAGTGAAGCAAACAGCAAAGAGACAGATACAAACAAGTACCGCAGGGTTGCGGCACATTATGGCGCGGACTTGACTTTTTCGACTGTGCCTTGCTGTCTTGTTGCGCAGTGATTCTTGGCCTGTCTGCTTCAGCCGTTTATGCGGTCTTGCTTCAAGACTCGCTGCTAGCGTATGTTTGCATTGTCATTCGTCGCGCATGGTCTCGTATTCTTTGAGTCCTAGTTCTGCGCCCTTGTGCCATCTCATTTCTCCGTCTCTGTATCCGACGCCCAACGGCCTCCTGAATTTGGCTCTTTTAACGCAGAACTTCGACCAGCATGAGCCTGGGTTTCATCCTGTGCCTAGTGGGCTGGCTGTTGCAAGTCGTCTTTCTTCTAGTTTTGGGCCTCGCAATCAAATCGGGCTCGCCAGCGCAGGCGCGTGTCAAGCCTCAAACCGCGCAAGCACGGATCGACGGTGTGCAAACAAGTCAGTGCCTGGGACCGTGTACCCTCGTTGTCGTTTGGGTATGGGCTCGAAACATGGCAGAATGTGTTGGCCTCACAAGACGGACGGTGTGCGCCATGCAGATGATGACGATTTGGGCATGCAAGAAAATCCATTGCTGGCCATGTCTCGAGGACAACTCAAGCTCGACGGGGACAATGGGCCGGGCGAAAGCATTGCCGATCCGCAAATTCAGCTCGGTGGAGTAACCACTGCAGACACGGTTCGTTTTGCTCTGGGCAGCCTCTCCGACTTGCGCGTGTCCCTATGCAAGGGCACGAATCGTTCTACTCGGCTTGTTAGTTTGTTGTGTGCTCATCTCGCGTTCTCGGATATCCATAGTCGGACGCGCCAGTTAAAGCGTTTAGCAATACGAGCACTATTGAGCAGAGTGCCTAGGGTTTGTGGCAGGATTGACAACGCCGGGAGCGTCTGTCTCCTCACTCTTGCTCTTGGCTCTGACGATGAGTTGACACCATGTTATCACGCAGCGTGCAAATACCATGTCTTTTATGAAACGACTTTTGTATGTATGTGCGCGCGGGGGAGTGTATTTAGCCATTGACCGAAATGACGCCGAGCGTGTTGCGGGAGCATCTCCCGCTGAAGTCTGCGAGCCAATTCAAAGTGACATACGTTTGCCGACGAGCGCCCCATCTTTTGTTGCTCTTCAATTGTTGGCGTACGCCATCACAATATGCACAACAAACAGAAAGACGCGGCTGTATCATATGCTTGAAGCAAGAACACGAAACACAAACAAGTACATGTACCAAAATAAAATTTTTATCACCTAGAGCCTAGAATGGCGTGAAATGAGGTAAACTTTAGCTAGGACACATGCCATACGTCCACAGACACTCTACATGGTCTTGAGGCGGTTCGGTTTGAATGATTTTGGGGACGACGACAGCGACGGATTGCGATGGGACCGTATCCGTTCATCACGTTGCTGGAGGCGAAAAGAAGCATCAAAGGTCGTGCTGGTGCGCGATTCACCACGCGAAGGTGTGGTCCATGTGCGTGCCAACGACTGTTTGATCCGCTGCATCTCGCGACGTTCCTCGCGCAATCGCTCCTTCAATTGCTCCTTCTCCAGCTAAGAAAGTCCCGGAAAAGAAACGGGGGAGGGGGGGGGGGGGGGGGCGTGAGTCAGCGCAACCAGCAACGCACAGTCAACACCCCACCAGCGTCCAGACGTTGACAGCGGGCAAATGCGTTGGCATTGTTGTGCCGCACAGGAGCCTACCTGCTCTTGATAGCGCTTGCGCGAGAGCCAGTCTTGTACAGCCGACTGGACCAAGGTTTCACGTTCGGTCAAGAGGTCTTGGGATTCATCCAAAAGCTGCTGCCGGATTTGTTGCTCTAATTGTGCCTGTTTGGTCTCGGAGCGCTTCCGTTGCAGCCATTCGTGGTACGCCCTGTTCGCCTGTTGTGTGCTCGCACTGGCAGCACGTGAGTGTGCTGGATTGCGCCGATCTTCTCGCTGGCGCTGCCGCCGACGCTCCTCTCGCTCCTCTTCGTCCTTGCGCCGGCGCCAAGCCTCAAAGCTGCGCTGAGATTCTAATTGACGTTGCCTCTCAGCCTCTGGGTCACTGCTAGAGTTGGCGCGAAGAGTGTCTCGCATCGAACGTTGCTTGCGCGCATACCAGGCCTCAAAAGCGTCACGAGCTTCTTCACTGGCAAAGCGATGTAAGCCCTTGCCAGGGCCCGTGAAGCTGGCTGTGTGCGCTGTTTGTGTGAGCGGAGGCAGGCAGCAATGTGCGATATGAGAAGGCACAGTCCAGTCAGACAAAGTGATGCGGGGTGTGCGGAGAAAAAGCAGGTTCATGAAATATCAGGAAAGGCGAAAGCGTCTTTACCAATGCGCGTGTGGGAACGGGGCTGGGCGGCTGAGGCCGGTCGTGGCCGGTCTGACGTTTGTGCCGGGGTGGGCCTTGAACTATAGTGGACAACGAGCAAGGCGATCAATATAAGAACTGGCGCGGGGTTGACAACTAAGACAAGGGCATGGTAGGAAGGGAGGGTGTTGCCGTTGTCAGGTCTTGAAACGAACCGATGGGGTCGAGCTGATTGAGCCCGCAATGGACGAGGGGGCGCTCGTGCAGCGCGAGTAAGGGGCGCACTATCGTCTGCGTCCTCTTCATGGTCTTCAAAGCGCAGTTCTGGGTGGACTGTTACGGCATCGGCATCAACGACTTCAATCTTGCCGCCACGTGCGATGACAACACTCTCCCTCTCGCTCATGTCTGGCTCTTGTGAGGCAGTCGCCGCTTCAGCATTTGCAGTCATTGTCGTGGGCGGAGCTTGTTCTTCCGGTGGCGGTGCTGACGATGCTGTTACGGGTTGCTGCTGTTGCGGCAGCGGAGCGGAAGTCGATGCAGGTTCACTGGGTGCCTGGATGCCTTCGTGAGGGTCCTGCGAGGATGTGGTGACAATGGGCAGGGCTGTTCCATCTGTTTCGACGGCGTCACCAGCCTTCGTATGGTTGCTGGGTGTGGTCGTGGCAGCAACCGAAAGATGCTCCTCATCATGCGTGGGCGGCAGATCCGATGCGTTGGTACCACTGGCGTCCTCTTCGCTGATTTTTCCACCGCCGCCGCCACCGCTCATGTCTGCTGGGAGGCTGGAGATGATGGCGGCCAAGTTGAGACGGCCCACCAGAGCCGATGCGGTCGCCTCGGCGGCGGGTTTGACCTGTTGTGGTGAGGAGGTGGTTGCAGCCGGGGCACGGGGACCCTTGCGGCCGAGATCAGAGGGCTCGTACTCCTCAAGCATGTCTGAGAAGCGGACTTGCTTGTTGTGCTCGTCGCCGTCTGACGGAGGCGGCGCCAAGGTGTTGCTGCCGTCCTCGGCCATGATGACGAGACGGGCCGCCGGCGGCCGCTTGCGCTCAAAACTGCCGACACCAACCAACGCAACGCTAAAACTTCTTTCAAATGGGCGTACAGTCTCTACAAGGACTACAGCCAGCACTGCCTGAGGACCACGAAGAAACCGTCGTTCGACCCCGGTGCCGCACAAGTCATCGGCGCTGCCAGCTTTGAAAAGTCCGCAGTTTGCATTAACCGCGATAAGTGTTGATGAGGCCGCAAATACTCGACTTGCTTTGAAGGGGATGTTACGTTGTGGTGGGAGGGTTTGCTGCGATAACTGTGATTGGTGATGCATTTACTACGATTCGGCTTGTTGCTGATTTGTTTATTGTGACGTTGTCAAACAACTGCAAAAGTCAACTGCTGTTGTGTTCATTCTTGCAGTCGTCAACACAAAAGTGCAAATGTCAGATTAAAATGTCAGATTAAAAGGGAAAGAAAGGCAAAATCTTGTCTAGAACGCCGGAGCGGTGGTCAGCCAGGCGCGGGCGCGAGCGAGCTGGCGCTGGAGGCGGCTTTGATCGGTGGGGGTGAGCCACCGGCGCAGGGCAGGAGCACAGCGGCCCTCACAATCTTCTAGAATGTCGCCAATTATGCATCGTTGTTGATTGAGCCATGCGGGGTCCGGCTTGATACCGGGTCGAGTCGAGCCCAACGCAGCATCGCAGCACAGCTGCACGACGTCTGCCAGGAGTGCGGTGTGGTTGCTCACGACTAGGAGGCGAACCACACGCGCATCTGCAAGAATGGGCCAGGCTTCGGGTAGATGCCGATGGTGCCGCAGCCGGTAGGCAAGCGTGGGGCCCAGCTGGGGCCAGCGCGGGACCCGACTCTCCAGGCCCGCGAGGACAGGAGAGCCTTGAGCAAGGCGAACGTCAGCGTGAAATAGCATGTCGTTGGGATCGCCATGCACAGGCCAGCCGACCCATGCAAAGGCACGCCAGTTGATGTGCCTCAGCAGAGCGTCGACGACTTGCCGTCCTCGCCGGCACGAGGCCCGTAGGGCGCCCAGATCCGCCAGGCACAGCCAGCAAGCTACATGTTCCTCAAACACCGCATCCAATGCCAAAATGGTCCAGATCACCGGCTCCGCTGTCTCAACGGGAGGCATCAAGCCGTCCCAAAAAGCTCAAGGCCAGCCCAATCCCCGGTGCTTGCTCTTTCAATCCAGTTCTGGACCACCAAACCTCAAAAACTCGCCCCATTGATGAGCACGGCGAGAGGGAAAGGAGAGAGAGAGAGGAGAGACGCTTGAGAGAGAGAGAAAGAGAGAGAGATTAGCAAAGATGCAAAGGAAAAGCACAAACTACCACATGTGAGAGAAAAGCATAAACGAGAGGATTAAAGAGACGTGTGTGTGTGTGTGTGTGTGTGTGTGTGTGTTTGTTGATGATTTGCTTCTCTCTCTTCCACACACACACACACACTTTTTTGCTCTCTCTCTCTTTTTTTTTTTTTTTAAACTTTGACTTCCCGTCTGCGGAGTTGATCATCATCTGGTTTGAGAGCAGAGATCGAGACGATCGGAGGGGGCGATGGCATGTTGGGTACAGCTGATGTTTGTGGCCAGTGCTTGGCTGGCCATGGGGCAAGGGTTGCCCATACGGGGGACTGAATTCGACCTCGCAGCAGCTGTCCGCACGGCTTGTGCGAGTTCCAGCCCGGCTCGGATCGATATTCCTGCCGGTCGGTGAGTGACAACTGTTCCCACCTCGCCACGCCAAAGGAGCAACAAAAGCTGAAACCATGCACTCCATCCCTTTCTTGCTCTAGCCACGTTCTCCAGACCCCGATCGAGATCAACCAAACATGCAGCGCGGCCAGCCTATCTCTCGTGGGCGAGGCGTAAGTTTCGTGAAAAGAGTCTGCCCCAGCGCACGTGGCAAAAGGATACCGGTCCAAAGCAAACAGTCCGAATTCAGCTGCAGCTACCTTCTTACGCTGATTCAACCTGATTCCTTGGGCAGGGGCGCAATCGTGGACGGTGGCATCGCACTTGGGGCCTGGTCACCCCAGCCGAATCAACCCGGCATCTTTACAGCCAGTGTGCCGCCGTCCTACCCTGGTCAGGCCCTCCAGCTTTGGATCGGGGATGAGCGCATTCCGCTGGCTCGATCACCCACAATGATCTGGGAGCAGATTGCCGTACGTTGCCCGAGCCACAGATAGCCTCGCTCTGCCCCCACCCTTGACTTGCGCAGCCCAGCCCAAGTATCGGGAAGTGTGCCTCGTATTCATGATCGAGCCGGCGCTTCTGTTCATGGCCCTGACACTGGCTGTTCACAAACAAACGTGTGCTCAGCCGGGTGCAGCTGAATCTTACTGGATGCAAGTTGGTCCCAACCAGCTCCTTTCGTACAATGCCACGGCTGGCTTGCAGGTATGAAACACCCCAGGCCACGGTGGGCTGGAGCGCAACATGCTTTGCTTGAGTTTTCGTTCGCCACTCTGCTACTTGGTGTCTGGGGTTGAGGTAATGCCGTGGTCTGGTCCGTAGATGGTGGTGTACGAGTCGTGGACAGCCTCTGTGCATCAGATCGCCCACATTGACGCTTCCAATAACAACATCTCCGTCATCAACCCGATTCCGTCCCGGTGGCTCTCCGGCGGCACGTCGGGCGCGAGTGGCCAGCGGTAGGTTTGCCTGAAAGTCCATGCGTATGATGGGGGCATTGGTTGACCCCTCTTCTTCTGCTGCCTACCACGCCTGGCTGGATACTCAACACAACCTGCTCCCCAGCTACTACGTGCAGAACGCACGCGAGTATGTCGTGGCGGGCTCGGGGTACTTTTTCCACGACGCCACCCAGGGGTTGATCTTCTACGCACCCATTGACGGTGCCGCGCCCCAGGTCCGTGAGGGCGAGTCTTTAAAACATCGCGAGGGCACGCGCACGCATGCGCGCAGCAAACGGGACGCACCCGCTCTTTGTCGTCACAGCCACTGCACTGGAAGCAGGCTCCTTATGCGTGCACTCTGAACTTGCTGCAGGTCACCGGTTACGTGGCCCTGTTACCAAGCCTGCTCAGCGTGAGCCAGTTTGCCCACCTGAATGTGAGCAACGTCATCTTTGAACACAATCGTGCCGACCTTGGCCTTTGCTTCCAGTACGTTTGAGCTTTTATGAAGCTGGGAAAGCTGCCAGGCTCGCCGCACCTGCATCATTGGTCACTTGCTTTGAACGAATGTATTGCAGGTCAACGTGCTCCTCGCAGGCTGGGGATGGTCGATATGGCCTGCTGCAATTTGCTCACGCGCAAGACGTTAATTTGAACAACATCACCGTCCGTCACGCGGGAAGTTACGGGGTGGCCTTTTTTGGTGGCTGCGTGGATGTGGCCTTGACGCATTCCAAAGTGCACGATGTGGGCTTTGGTGCGGTTCGTGCCGGCGCCGCTGCCGGTGGCGTGCCGGCGCCCACCGATCCAGCGGCCACCGGTGTCATTATCACCGACAACAACTTTTTTGACGGTTCCCACATCATCCGGTCAGCCCCTCACGAGAGCACGCTCGTTGTCCATTGTTGCCCAAGGCCCGCACCGAATCTTTTGCTTCTCTAAACGGTCTTTAGTGATGGCTTGGTGGTCAAAGGACAAGCGATTAACGTGGCTGAATCGGTGTCTTGTTGCTCCTTTGCCGTGCGCCGTAGGGCCGGTTGTGGTGTGCTCATGCAGGCAGCCAACAACAGTCGGGTCTCACACAACATGATCCGCGACTTTGACTATACTGGCGTGAGCATTGGTTGGACCTGGAACTACATCCCCACCGGTAAAAAGGACCTCTTGGGCTTTCCTCAACCCCAAGGCGAATGTGTGCTAGGGCCTTATGCTGATCTTTTGCCCTGCGTGCGCTTAGCCAACACCAATAACATTGTGAGCTACAATCACATTGAGAACATTGGTCGGCGGCAGCTGAGTGACATGGGCTGTGTGTATCATCTGGGCGAGTCGCCTGGGACAGTTATCAGCAACAACGTTTGCATCAACGTCACGAGCTTCAACTACGGGGGCTGGGGCTACTACTTGGACCGCAAGTCAATGCCCCCTGCCGTGGCTGTTTTGATTGCGTTCTTTTCTCCTCCTGCCTGACTTTTGATGCCATCTTGCAACTCACGGCACCTCCTTGCTTTTGGGCTCGGGCTAACACAGAAGCGAGCTCCAACGTGACTGTGATTAACAACGTGGCGTACAAAACAAAGTGTGGCGGATTTCACCAGCATTATGGTGCGGATGGAAAAGAAAGAAGAAAACGAGCGCCAACGCCCGGGGGTGGGGCAGAGGCGTGTCTGACCCCACGACGACGGTGTGATGCTTGGTAGGCATGAACAACGTGATCCGCAACAACATCTTTGCCCTGGTGGACCGGGAGGACTGCGATGCGGCTGTACGCTCCTCAGCTCATGATGCGCCAGGTATGACACCCGTCATGTTTTGTTTCTGCATTGCATGCGCTTGAACCACTGGGGCAATGTGGTTGGGATGGCAACGCTGGTGAGATCGGCGGGCCATGTTTGAGGAGGAGGGGGGGGATTGTTAGCTGTGTTTGGCTCAAGACCATCGACCCTGCACTAGGCGACGAGGGGGACCGAGCTTCATTCGTGTTTGAGCAGAACATTGTGGCCGTGGACTTGGGGTTGCTCTTCTATTCCACGACCAAGAACGGGTTTGCCAATGAGAGTTTTGCAAAAAATCTTTATTGGTCTTACAATGCCTCGGCATCACCCAGCTTTCCCTGCGACCCATCGCGCCCTTTTGGCGATCATTGGTGGCTTACCACCAACGAGGGCCTCAGTCTGGGTCAGCGGCTTTATTCTCAAAACCGCCAGGCCAGTTTGTATCTCGATGAGCATGCCAACCTGTGTACCTGGCTGGCGACGGGTGATACAAATCAGACAGTGTGGTGCACCAACACCACGCAAAGCGCTGCCGTGTCGGCAGGTGCAGCCAACATGCAGGGGGATGGGAACTTGTGTGTGGATGTCAACGTTGGTCAGGGCACCAAGTCACTGTGGTGTGACATGGAGTCGGCCCACGGCACGGGCAGTGACTACTTTATGATTCTCAACAATGACGCCTCCATCTGTGTGCACAACGGCACTTCTCCCTCGGTCTCGGATCATGGTAGGATTATAATGCTCGGCTCGGCCACAAACGTGCAAATCTCTACCATTGCCTCACTGAGGCCTTCACCTTCTCGCCATAGGCCCGTTGTGGTGTTCGCCAGGCGCGCCAATCTATGAGAAGACCGGTCAGCGCTGGGGTGAGAGCTCGCCTTTCCCCACGGACTGCTCCTGGAGTGATTGGCAAGCCCGAGGCGAGGACGTGGAGAGCTTGATTCAGGACCCCCGCTTCATCAACATAGCCTCGGGCACCAACTTTCAGCTTGATCCCAGCAGTCCAGCCTTTACCCTCGGGTTCCAAGCCATTGATACCAGCACGGTCGGGCCGCGGCCTCTTTGATGCGGTGCTGCCCTAAAAGCAAGATATTGTCCTTACCGAGAAGCGTCCCCTTTTTCCTCATGTCAAACGACCAAACCGTTCACATTGGTGTTCCTCTGATGTTGATACGGGTGTTGTTGCGCTTCTCTGATTTACCTCTGTTTCTCAGTGTGGTTCAGTTCATGAACTGGTTGCCCCTCTCATCATCTCCCCTACTTACACGCCCGCCTCTGCCTCTGCCTCCATACCCATCCGAATCCCCTGAAATCCTTTTGTTTGTCCAAAGGGGGCGGTAAGCTGCATGCACGACTGGACACACACACACACACGCGCGCGCGCTGGATCTCTCAGATTTCAAATCGGTAGCCTGAAGCAGATCGGGACTGGGCCAGGGCCATCAATCGTGAGGGAAAGAGGCTGGGCTACATGGCATGGGGCATGAGACCGTACTAGTGTCAAGTGGCTTTTGGCGCAAGCGGCGCTGGTCGTTTCGAATAGGTGGGCTTGGTGGTGTTGGGCTCACTGTGATCCGTGCTATCTTGTTGTTAGATCGGTCCTGACTCAAGTGGCGTGTGACACCGGTATCTCGCGCTTCCCACCGTGTGGCGGCTTCGGCGAAATTCTCGCGTCAAACCGGCAAACATGTCGCAACGCGAGGACATACCGCTCAGTACGTCTCTCACCAGCAGCGATCTCGTGTGTCTCTCTGTGTGTGAATGCTGTCATGCGAGTGCCTGGCTGCAACTCACATCAAGGCGCCTGATCTCACCTCAAGCAGAGTCGATCAGCCGACACAGCTCGTCGGTGAAGAACAACAGCAACGCCATCAGCCTCACAACCCGGCAACACTCTAGCGCTGCCAAACATGAGGAAGAGCGAGGTACGCGAGCAATGCCCCCCAACCCTTTGGTCCCGAACTGATTGGCCTCGTGCCAGCATCTCATCACGCTCGGCCGCTGTCGTTGCCATGCTATCGTGTAGTGCGCCAGGCCCGCGACTGGTCCACCCAAAAACAGTTTTAGTATGTGACGTGCAACATCCAGGCACAATCGTTGTTTGCAGTCCCTCACGCCTCTTACCGTACGCTTGATACATTTCTCTTTCCACAGCGCGGCCAAGAACAACAGCGTCAGCGTGCTCAAGGCGTGGGAGGCCGGACGCTCTCGTGAAGAATTGGTATGGGCTCTTGCCTGCTTCAAACTCCAAATGCCCAGCAAAGTGTGTTCAAGTTCTCAAACTCGCCTTCTGACGTGCCTTCTTCTCGTTGATGCTTCCAGCTGAGCATCTATTTGGAGCAACGCGATGCCGTCGGCGCAACCCCGCTGCACGTAGCCATCCTCTGCGCTTCAAAAAATGTGGCTCGCTACCTGATTGAGACGTGTGTTTTGCTCGCTTTCTACTCAAACTGGGTGTGGCTGTACTCGGACCATCCTTGCTCACAAAAAAATCGTTTCTTGCCTCTGGCCTAACAGGTATGGCAAGGCGCTCGTTGCCGCCCAATACGACTTGTTTAACCCAAATCGACCTTCATTGTATCAGGTATGCTCTGGCATCCATCGGTTTGCAAAATCGTTGACTCGGTACATGGGCTCTTTGTTGACAGGTCCCGGTTGCCCGAGTGTAGGGTGAAACAGCACTCCATCTGGCGATTGTGAAGCAACAAGATGAATTTGTCCGCCTCTTGGTACGCCAAGCCCCAGCACGTTTGTTGACTTCCAGAAGACGTGTCGTGCGACCACGCTGACTCGACTCGTTTGGCCAGGTGCAAGCTGGTGCCGATGTCAACGTGGCCTGCTCTGGCGAGTTTTTCGATCAGGACGAGGCAGACAAAGGCATCTACTTTGGCTCGCGGCCCCTCCACTTTGCCGTGTGCTCTCGCCGCGCCGATTGCGTCGAGTATCTCCTCAATCACGGTGCTGATCCCGCCCTTGTGGTAAGAGTCTGATCAACGGCTTTGACCACTCACGGCGTGCTCCACCACCCGCTTGCTCACGGCGCGCGCCGCGTCAATCACGTTCTTGATTTGTCGATGGCAGGACAAGTATGGCAACAATGCCCTGCATTTGGCCGTGTGGTACGGCTACCCGGAGATTTACGACCTGCTTGCCAGTCGCAACCAAGGCTTTGAAGATAACATCCTTGTTAGTCCATCAGGCATCTGCTTCGCCTGGCCACACAATCACGCCCTGCAATTTCCCGACTGTACGGAACCAATCTAACGCCGCTATTCTGTAGGCCATGCATAACAATGAAGGGCTGACGCCCCTTAAGCTGGCTGCCGTGCGCGCTGATCGCATGATGTTTCACCACATCCTGCGCCGACGCCGCGAGCTGTCTTGGTACGGTCTGGCTGACGTGGGTGTGCAGACCGTCCTCAAGTCTCTTCTCATTTTGTGCTGCCCCCGTAGGGCTTTTGGTCCCGTCCGTGAATTCCTGTACCCCATGGACGAGCTCGACTCCCACTACGAGGACAACGACGTCGACGTCAGCGCCATCGAGTTGCTCGTCCGTGAAGGCACGCTGGAACATGCGCAGATCTTGGCTGACCATCCCGTCATGTTCGTTATAAAACCGATTTTGGCTGAGCTTGCCAACACTCAAGAACGATGGCGACGATTCTGAATGGAGCGCATCCATTGGTACTCACACCGGTCTTGTTCCCGTAGTGACATTCTGGTTGAGAAATGGGTCAAGTCTGGCCGGCACATCTTTTGGATCAGCTTTTTTGCTTATTTGACGATGACTGGCAGCGTTACCGCTGGTTTGTGCCTGCCGTCAAAGTCCTCCGCTTTGTCTTTTTGCATAGCTGAGCTTGAATGTTGATGGCTCAAGCTCGCAGTCATCTGCGCGGGTCATCGACTGCTTGAGCAAGCCCAATCTCACTCAATCATCGTTGCTCTTGCGCCCGCTCGTGCTCGTTGATATAGCACTGCTCATGTCGCCGGGGGATCCAAACGTGTACGATGGAACTCGGGGCGACGTGCGCTTGGTGCTTGAAATCTTCTCGGCAGTTTTTGTTCTCTTGGAAACCATCTTTGAACTTCGAGGTTTGGCATCTCGCCGAGACGAGGCATGGGGCACGGCATTGGGCCTGGTGCCTTTCTAGTTTTGCTCATCCTGAATATCGCGCTTCCCACCGTCCCCTTGCAGACGTCATGACGTCACCAGTTCGAAACCACTCGCTACGTGCCGGCTCCATCGTCTTCAAGTATGCTTGACTTTTTCTAAGGCCTTTCTCACTGTATCCTTGCTCATGCCACGTCTGCCCACCTATCCTCGTGCCTTCGGCGTGTAGCGTGGCGAGCTGGTGCTTCCGTGTGTGTGTCTTGATTGTGATTGTGCTGCGGATTGGCAGCGTTTCCAGCAACATCCAGCGCACTTTCATGTCCTTTTTGGCTGGTGAGTACTTTGCGCGTTGTGCGGCACAAGGCAGATTCTGTCTGATGGCTCATTCTTGCTGTTGCATGTGACAGTCATGGGCTGGATGCAAATGCTCAATTTTGCTCGTGGTATCCAACCGCTTTCCAACTTTATCCTCATGACTGAGCACATGGCCATCAACATGATGTCCTGGTTTGTCTTCCACGCCCTCTACCTCAGCTTGCCATTTCCATTCGAGTTTAAATGGACTTTTATGATTGAACATGTGC